GCAGGACCCGACGACGAATGTGGCACTACGTGGTATTTGCTCGATCACAATTTCACATGTTCTTCTTCTTCTTCCCACAGTATACCCCTCTCCTCTCCATCCCCGCATGTCCCACTATGGGTTCTGCGGTCCGAATAATTCTGCTGGAGCCGGTCTTGTTTTTGCGGAAGCCCGCGGATAGTATTTAGCAACTCATTGGGCGGTAAGTTAAAGATATATATAGATAGGTACTGTTTTCAGGATGATCTTTGTGAAGCAAAATAGACAATCAAAATATAGAATGTATTGTACGAACTGATGAGTAGGAACAAGAAGCGGGAGAGAACGTTCCCAATTTATAGGTCCAGTTTAGAGAACAAATGTCTCTAAGACAAAGGTACAGATAGTTTGGAACCACGTCTAAACTACATTATGAAACGTTTAACACTGCAATTGTTAACAGCAACCACCACCACCGCCGCCACTGCAATGAATTGCCACGATTAATAACCACATCTAGTTACCGTATAGGGAAGTGCCCAAAAATCACTTTTCTTTACCCTCTGGATAAATGTGCGTCTTGTGCCATAGATGGACAAAACAGCATGTGAGCACAGAGCCAAAACAAAAGAAAGGATATGCATATAGATAGTAAAGAGATTTCATTCATACATGTATGTAAGATCTGTGATGCGACTTTATACAGCTTCGCCCCGTCCATATTCTCCGCTTCATAACTTAAACAAGAGATAAACAAATAAAATAAAAACAGACCTGTAACGCCTTGCTGTCCCAGCTATATATCGTGTATCCTACTCTAGTCTAGGATATCCTGTATTATATCATGCCATGCTGCTCAAGAATTAAAAGCAGAAATTAACCCAACAACCCCTTCAACTCTCCTGCACTCTTTGCTCTTCCTAAACCCACTTTGACCGCCTGGGCCCCGTCGTCCCCAGTTGCTGGAGTCATTCGGCCGAACACCATTTCCCATCGGCGGAGTGTGGCGGATGGGACAGTCCCCCCAGGCGTCGAGGGCGCAGACGTGGGGTTTGTCGAAGGAGCCACTGAGGGCACAGACGGACGACGGGGATGGCTCTTTCTTCTCCTTCGGGGTGTATTCGCCATATGTACATGCTGTAGCCCATCCTCATCGTGAGCACCTTCGCTCTCCGAATCTGGGTCAACAAGACTCCATTCATATGTCCCGTCTGCAGACAAAATAGAGCTGGTTTTGACAATTTCTGTCTCTAGTTCAGAATCACCCAGTGAATCTTCCGAAGATGTAGCTGTTGAGATATTAATGTCGATCTCGACATCCTTGACGTTCTCAACATCCTCAGGATCGAGCTCCTTGGATGGTATGTTGCTAGGAGTGAAAAAGATGTTATTGGGTCTAATTTCACTCCTCGTGTGTACCGGGGACATTGCCCCACTCCGCAATCTCCTTGACAGGCTCCGGTCTCGGAGTGGGTGTGTACTCGGATCATGGCTATGCATTCGTCTCCTCATACCACGTTTCCTGCCACGCCCACCCACAACAACGAAGGGCGTTAGAGCACCATTCGTTGTGGCCGTAGACGCTCCTGATACTCCAAGTCCTCTGTCATCACCACTAATCCCCCGAAGGTTTCCCATTCGTAAATCCACCTGACTAGGTGAGAACACAACCCTTGTTCTGATTTTATGAATCGCCGTATCCAACGCCAATTCAATAGCACAATGATTCCGGATTCTACTCATTTTCGGCCAGGTTGCGCGTTCTCCACGTAGTGTTGCTTGAAACATAAACTCCGCCGTCGGATTCTTCAGCATCTTTGGAAAGTCCGCGTATGAAACCTCCGGAAGAATCGTGATATCGCCCGAGTACTTTTGGGATAGGACTGAGCGAGCCTTCGTTAGGCTTGTCTTGAAAATACCAATCTCTGCAAGCATATTCATCCTGTGAAGTACCTCTCCCACTGCCAACTTTACCACCGTTTCACCCCACCCTGTAGTAGAACTTTCGGGGGGCGCGGGGGCGTGATCCGGGGATAGAATAAATTCCTTTGGCAGGAATGGAACAACGTGGGGGTTTACTTGACTGACGATGAAGTGGTTCACGTTGAACATCTCCGCAAGTCTTGTCATCGGAAGATCGTTCTCAACGGATCCATCGATCCATCGCTGAGGCGTTGGGCTCCAGGGGACCGGAAGACCTGTTTTAGGATCCTTAGAAAGCAGAGACATCGCTGAGAATAGGAAAGGAACAGAACAAGATGCAGCAACAGCGGACCAGACTAGAACGTTAGGAGCAGACACGTAGTTCAGCAAGCGAGGTAGCTCGTAGACACTAGCACTAGTGACGCAGATATTCAATATTCTCCTGGTACGATTGTAGGCTTCTTGGAACGTTATGTCCCCTATCAATTCCCGCATAACTCTTGTCAAGTGCGAGCTATCAATCCAAGCACCGATCTTCAAAAATCTTGCAAGTCGGCTCAGAATTGTCTCTGGATTCTTTCCGTCTTCAAACACATCTAGGTTACCAAACGGGAACTCTTCCAAAATGTTTGGTATCTCGTCGTCCGTTCTTGTACACAGCACAGCAGCGACAATAGAACCAGCCGAAGCCCCAGAAATGATTCGCGGAAGCAAGTCTACATCCCATAGCGCTTTCATAACTCCAATATGATTCATACCGAATGTAGCACCACCAGATAACAAGAGTGCTGTACGCCCAAACGCCTGGCGAGTATTGATGAGAGACTCGAGAATCTCAGAGCTTGAAGGGGTGTCAGCAGTGACCGGAAGAGAAATAAGTGTGTCGAGTGTTGCAAGGCACGAGTCAATGTATTTCTCTATGAGCCGTTTCGTGCCTGTATGCGAATACTTGTAGAGCTGCACACATAGTAGTATTAGCAAGGAGCCCCTGATTAAACTGCCTGACATATATATACCCGAATATTTCCCATTTCACCAAGATTTCGTGACAATGTAGTCCTTATAAGAAACATCATCCGTCTTATATCACAAGAGAGTCGTGCATCGTCAAGTTGTTTTAAACGCGCCGATATCAAATCAGAATCGTAGTCTGGCGAGGAGGGGTCCGATTTCCACCCTTCGCTCCCTTCTAAATGATCCAACTCCTTCGCTGCCTTTTCCCAATCCGCAAAATTTATCGCCTAGTACACGTAGTACTTGGTCAGTAAATTTACCCACAGCCAGCTTTCTGTAGCGGAGAAACACACATTCTTCAAACGCGCACTAGCAAGCTGGTGACGTCTTGTAGCCTCATCTGAGGCAAACACCGACGTCAGTGCAGATGTAGGATCTTTGATGAAGCGAAATAGTGGTGCAAGTGTACTTTCCGACCTGTTACTTGTCGAGGCATGATCTTGTCCGGCGGGAGTAGCTGTGGCGGCGGCATCCAATGAGCGTCTATGATTATAAGGCGTAGCAGAGGACGCTGGGAAATACGACATTCTGTATGAGTGGTACTAGTAGTGATGTTTGTATATTTGATAATTTTATTTCCATCACGACAAGTGTAAATAGCAAAGACGTCCGGAACAGAAAGTGAGGCCTCAGACAGTATTTGTAGGATGCTCGGCTGTGGGGAATCCTGCCGGCAGCGGTACGTTGATCAGTATCAAGCTTACCCAAGTTCACGATGCTACTAGCTAGCCGGGACCCCACGCACCCCGCAAAGGCCAGTTTAGTATTGATGCAAATTACCTCCAGATGGCACGAGGACGCGATTCTGAATCGTTAGTGTGGGGGAGGGGGGGGTGGAAGATCTCGGAGAGGGAGCTCTCAGCTTTGAGGAACCGATGGACGGAGAATGTGACTATGGGGGTTAGGTCAAACAGAAACACAGATCTCTTGTCCTCCGAGTCCCGAAGCTCTGGGACTTAAGACTGGAAGTGCCTTACCGCTAATACTAATCGTGTGTGCTCCCAACCTCCTCCTCCATCTCCCCCTGAAATTCTTAGGATTAATTACTTAATTACTATGGTACTTCTCAAAGGCGTCCTCCCTCCATCCTGTTCTTGTTCTTCAATAATATGCAAATTGTTTCACGTATTACTTTTCACATGCAAGTCGCTTTCAGCGCTCAAATTTTTATTCGACCTTTTTATTTACTCGAGGTATGACATATGACGCTGTGTTGCCGACGTCAGGCGACCTTATGTTTAGCTGAACCTTGCAGCTGCAGTAGTTTTCTGGTTGTGGTTGTGGTTGGACTGACCAGTCGCATCTCTAAATTTACCTGGATCTGATCTGTGAGTATGTACCTGGATCGCGGGGTTGAAGCTTCTGTTTTTTTTGCCGAAAAGCCATGCGTCACTATGAAGCTCCTGAAGTAGGTAGGTACATAAACCAAACATATTTACGACACGTTGGCAGCCTCCCTGTAAGGGTTCCATAGAATTCCAACGAGCACGTGTGAATGTATTATATAAGGGGGACGCATGGAATCCACAAGAAGCACATACAGCCCTGGGCAGACGCATCAAAAGAACTACGTATCATGTCGGTACTTAAGTACTTTACATAATCTCCTCTTGACAGCGGGTAGATTTGCATGTGAAAAAGAAATATCCTATACTTCTTGTATCCTCGCTGAATAGACACGGCCAGTACCAAATATACACATTCCCAGCTCAGTAGAGTACCGTGTTAAACCCGGTAATAAATATGCCAAGAACGTACCTGGTAACATCTAGCGTTGTACGGAAGGAGATTCCGTAAAAGACTCGAGCAATTAATTTCTCTCGGGTTAAGGCTTCAAGATCCGGAATTGGATTGATACCTACACAGCGTTTCACTCATAATATTATTATTTCATGTATGTACATGTAGCAACTACAGTACCGTACATACATGTATGCCTGCTATGATAGCATTCGCGGTAACATGTAAGTCTTCAAAATACTTTCTAAAGCACAAGAGCAAAGGAAACTAGAGAAAACTCAAAAATCAAATAGGCCACCCAAAAAACCGCTCCAGACACCGAAAAAGAGAAAGAAGGGACCCTTTTAACCAACCCAACTCATAACTGCCTCTTCCAGCTCTTCAAGAACCCCATTCTCATGCCAAAAATGCCCTGCGCCTTCAATCTCTACACCTTTCCAACTTTTACTAACACCACCCATCTTTTCCTTCCACTTTCGATACTTCTTCACGCTTGTGAATGTATCCCCATCCCCATAAACTGCCAATACCTTAGTCCCCAGCTCATCAATACCCTTTCTCCCTTCTTCTACCACACCATCTAAACCCTGACCCCCCATCCCAACTAAGCCCTTCGTCCACCCCGTTAACGAATTCTTCCCCCCCTGTCCAAACCCTATTAAGAAACTACTAACAGGCGGCAGCAACGGGGAGATCAAAAGGTATTTCGAAATGACCCTCCATTTAATCACCCTATCCTCCCAGTGCTCCTTAACCGGTGATGACGAATCTTTATCCTGCACAGCCTTGAGTACATCAGCTCTGTTTACCGAAGACCCCGAATACGAAGTTCGGGTACTAGAATGGCTGTCCCTCCATCGCCGCGCTGAACGGCGGGCTGCGTCTATTGCATTTGCGAATGCAGGTCGGTCGCTGGGAGGAAGATTCATAAGTGGTAATATGTGTTTGTTTGTGGATGGGAGACGTGATGCTATTAACGAGCCGTATGAATAGCCGGCGATTAGTAGTGAGATGACCTCCTCTTGGGGTTCTTCAGACACATCCTGCTTTTCAGTAGGCGAAGAAGCTGGGGTTTCTGGCGGCGGAAGTGATTGCACGTATGTAAGAACCCACGCGACAATAGATATGTAGTCTTCTATCTCTGCATTCCCAGTCCAAGTGGTCCTTCCCTTTGATCCGCATGCACCTCTACTCTCATTAGCTCAGCTTAATCTCCACTACCCTACGCCTGCCATCTTACCGGAAGTTGAAGCTTGCAACCACCCAACCCATCTTTAACAGCAAGCTCACAACCTGCAACACAACACGATCGTCATAGCTCCCTCCGAGCGGTGCATATGGATGCGCGACCACCGCAACCTTCCGTTTCCACGGTGCGCCCGCTACAGGGCTCATGTATATCGCAGGGAGGTAGATCCGCGCGTCGAGGAGAAGTGAGTCATGAAGCGAGGGGATCTGAAGGTTGAGGGTCGCTGGAGGCATTATGGTGTGCGGTGGAGCAGCTAAGTAAGGGTCCGTCTGATGTTTGGAATGTTAGACTGGGTCTGTTTTGTTGGCTTTGAGGCTACTAATAGGCTTGGCTGCGTCATGGTTGTCCGAGCCGAGGTATCCTTGCAAGCCCTAAGGTGCCTTTGAAGGAAGCCGTTGATACGTGGATCTAGATACAAGTACCCATTGACCAGAAAATACTAAAACCTACAATCGTCTATGAGAGTTCAGTTCTTGGAAGGGTATTTTCGGGTATGGCATCCCTAGGTTCGACCTAGGAAAGCGTGTCCCCCGCCTAGGGAAAGGTAAATACACACCTATCGTACGGAATGGTGGATGTTCCATTTATCCACCTGGCAAGACGCCCGCACGAAGGCGTACAAGACGATTCAAGTTATCAAGAACACAATATATAATACTACATTCAACTCTGTAAACAGGCTGGCATACGGTACTAGCAAAGTTTACTGGTTTTCATATGGCGAGTGATAGTTGATGATTATAAACCCTACACTTAGAACCAAATATTTACAGTACGCTAATGTTAGAGAGTTATATCCTATCTAGATATTTTAAGGGTTTATATACACACGGATGTCCTACTTGGCCGTTTGCAAGCCCAATATCTCTGGGTTATCCTGCTGGTCTAATGAGAAAAAACGTACATATGCCCTCATGCTCATTACAGGCAAATTAACCCTACAGAGAAATTTATCACAAAGTCGTCTGCGATGATTGATTTCATCTATCATTGATCACATATAGTTTGTTGAGTTCAAGAACAGCGAAAAGTTAAAGTTGAAAATCCCACCCCCTTTAAATTCACAGTTTTCCTCATCAAATCCCAATTACCATCTTACCTCTCACACATAACCAATATTACACGCATACACGCATGTACACATCTACACGTGCACGCATACACACATACACGCATACGCATATATATACTCACATCGATATAAACATGTGGCCTACAGGTATCACCCTTATTTGCGGTTGCAAGTTGGACCCAATGATCGTTACAAATAACGCTGGTCAATCCACCTATTCTGTGATCCGCCTTCCTGGCTGCCCATACTGCGCAGCATTTTGCAAATGCTCTCCTTTTACGCCGAAATTAAACACCCCGGAACCTTGGTTTGACTACCGTTTGCTGAATGCGAGATGTGAGCTTTGCTATCCTCCTCCTAAAACTTACAGAAAAAAACAGGAAACTGCTCCTCCTGGAGTATCCGAAATCCCGAAAAGAAAACGGAGCAAAGTGGAAAGAGTTCTTTCAAAGCTTGGGATTACGAAGGGGAAAAAGTAAAGCCCCAAGTTAAGGGCGCTTTATCCCGTGCTAGTTTTAGGACAATGAGAGAATACTAGAACATGGCCATATTATTGCCAGAAAAGATGTGATGTAGCGCTAAAATTATAGTTCAGATCTGCATGACGTGAGTAGGACAGAGTTGATGAGTCGAGCTATCTAAGGGCATGGAGATCCTTATGTCAGACAGAAAGAATCGAACATGCTATCCATGCAGACTACACTCATACATATTGCACAGTGACCCATGATGTCTTTTATCTCCAACATATGACTGTTTTCTTCGATACTCCATATATGTATTTGATATGACATACAGGCATACCCACCACATACTCTGTCTGACCATCTCCGGACTCGTGTGTGGGTGGGAAGATATAACGACCCTTTAAAAACACCGAAGCGATATTCAAGATCACTAAACCTCTCCACACATGAACCTCTCATCATAGGACCAGGGAGAGCACCCCCCCCCCCATATGATATTAACCAAGTGTGGGGCACACTTCTTCACAATGCGGCGTATCCATTCCGACACTTCGGAATCAACATTACTAAACATCCGAGGAACCGTTATTCTCGAAATTGTTGGTTTGGTCCTGGCTCGGTTGGTGGATGAGATCCCGCTGGTAGGATGTGAGATCTTGTTCTGGATACCAGTTGGTTGGTTACGCGAGGGAACCAGCTGAAAGCTGAATCGTAACCCTGAGACGCCGCACACGCACTGGCGGTTCGCTGTTCTACTGCCAACCAATTATTTGATCCGAATCGCTTATGGAATACGAAACCTGCGTTAATATCGACCAATGTCTTCGCAGCTGAACTCTTCTATGTGCAATAACCAATCAGTTATCACTACATACTATTTCACCAAAGCGGCTATTTTCTGTTCGCCCTATCTTGGGTTATATTACTGATAACCCTTTGCGCTAATCCTAGACTTCTAGTGAATACATGTATGACGTTTCTAGTCGCGTCAAGTTTCAGGACCCTGAAACGCCCACCCGATATCCTGACACCGAAACCCCAGGTGGCAGCTAAACTGCTATCTACCAAACTTACTACTTGTCATTCCCCACGGACAAAGGAAGGTGCAAGTGTATAAATTCGAAATCAAGAATATCGCTATATGTTGAAGATTACGGTTTCCAAATATATAACACTGTTGGCCCTTTACTTTGCCTTAGATACAAAGTGGTATACTTGAATAGGTTGAGGTTTGATTCATGGGCCATCACTCGATCACTCACATCTAGCCTGGACCAAAGGGAAGAACTGGCAAATCAAAAGGCGCCGATAGAGGTTATCATATCTCAGCCACTGCTATTCTCAGCCATCATCATGTGGTGCAAACTGATAAAATGCATCTTCCCATACACGATGTCATTTCAACCGAACAGTCGACATCCTAGAAACCAAGCTCTGCAATTCAACATCTCCGTATCTCTAAATATATGATTTCAATCGTATGATTTCGTATCAACCCTAGATGAGACACTACCAACAAAAGTCCAATCAAGTAATCCGGAAGATGATCATGGGCCCGAATTAAATTCCGCGGCTCGGTACCCCATATTCTGACCGATATGCGAGACGGCCGATAAAACACAATCAGGGAGCTACCGGGCTTCGTTTGTTCCATCCGAGCTTGGATACGCACGCGCCTTGGGCTGACAGCTGCAATATTCACCCTAACAGGTTAACCCAATGGGAAAAATACACCTTTAAAAATAAATAATACGACAGTCTGTTTCTTTTGTGTGTGAGAAACAAACTATAGATCGCGGTCAGTTTGAACTTTGAAGCACATACAAAAATGGACGAGACAAAAAGAAGGGCTTCTGCGGTTTTACTTGGAACTGATTGGCGCGCTTAATGATACCTTGCATCTTCTAGCGTGCATAGAACTGGCAGAACCTACCTACTTGGTACTGATAACGTAGATTATCTTAATCAGCACGAATATGGAACAGCTCAGACAGGGTCGGAGGAAGTTCCCGTGCCATGGATCCAAAACCCGGGGATAAAACGTGATGTCTAAGACAACGCTACCGATTTGTTCACTGTTGGATATGAATTTAGGTACCCAGGTACCTGCAGTTAGGTGTCACATATAATCAAACCTAAAACTAATAAGGCACAATACCTACATGTAGTTGATCACCACTGATAAGTATTCATTACGTGAGTACGGGGTCAATATATGGTGATAGCTATGCATACGCAGAGAGAAGGTTAATTAATCTCGGGGTGAATGGGCTTGAAAATCTCTAATTAACTCAAATTATTCAGGTTTATATTTCTGACGTAGTAGAAAACTTATTTCCCAGAAGTAGAAATCCTATTGGTAAGGCCAAGACCATTGGACAGACTATATAATGTGGTGTGACATTGGCATAACACGCAGGGATCTAAGGGCCATAGAGGTTGTGAAACATTGGTTGATTGACTTCGAGTGTGTTTTTACACTGTTAATAGTAGAAAATCAAGCAGCATTTAGGCACGCGGTTTGTTCAAAAAGATATAATTTGGAACAAGTTTTTTGTCTCTGTCACAGAGGTCGAGTATACGCCTCGCCCGTATTTGCGTTTTTCCCAACTATCCATCGTTCCCAATGTTTTCTCTGGGCCTGAGAGACAGTGACCCCATAATCCATCAGGTCCTCCTCAGGATCATCCTCATCAATTGTTCCAAGGCTTCCAAAACTAGCGTTAGCAGTATAACCACAGGATGATATACCGCTAGATGACCCTGTATCCTCTGACGAAGTGAACACATTCCCGTATATAACATCGTCGTCCGCTTGAGATGGGTGTATGTCGAATGAGCGGGTACTTGTATTATCAGTCTCAATGTCATCGAAATCCTCCTCGCTACTAGTGTCGCTGTAGGTTTCGATATAGGCAGCCTTGCGAACATATTCTCCCTCATAGCCAATATCCTGTAACCCAACCCATTCCAGTCGTTTCATAGACGCCTTCAACGCAATCGCAACATCCTTCCACCGGCCATCATCTATGAGATACACCTCTGATAATCTTAGCCCCTTCAGGGTATTACGATGTCTTTGGGCAATTCCAATGATATCTTCGGCTCTCAACATCCATGAGCCTATCCCCAAAATACGAAGTTTTGTCCAAGTAGTTCCATGAAATACGTCATCCAGAGGGAGACGTACAGGTAAACCAGGAGTAAATCTAAGATACAATGTCGATAGATTCTCGGTGTACGAGCAAAAGAGCTTAAAAAATGCAGAAAGTGGTGATATGTGGCCTTTCAGGCGGGTTTCGGCAGTGTCTAAATAGCTTCGATCGGGTCTTTCATCAAATGTGATGTCCAGATGTGAGAGCTGCCCCCAATCTTTCGCGGCCAAACTGGAACGTTGCATCCCAGAGGTTATTTGCAGTAAACTCTGCGGGCTCAAAGTTGGGCTCGAGAATGATGATACTGGTGGGTTCCCATATAACACAGCCATAAGCAAAGTATCCACAGCATGTCGACATGCGGGGATCCAGCGGCAATCAATGAACTCCCATTCATCAAAACTAGATGCTAGATTTCGCAAAACGATGTCCTTATGTACCATGACTGACAGTAACTGGATTTGCTGTAGAGATGTGAAAGCCTTCATTGCTTTTTTGAGAACAAACAGATCGTATGAACCATGCATAACTTCTTGTTGCTCTTTGAATACGGTTGGATAATAGAAGGGTTCTCGTTCTTCGAACATTATTTGACGAAGCTTGTTGGAAAATCGAATAGAACGGTCTGCTCTAAAGGTCTCAAAATCTTGATCACCTATTCTCTGAATTAACGTCTGAGAAGGAATTTAGCTTGGACAGAGCTTTCGCCTTACCTTCAAAATAAAGGTACGGCATCAGGTACACAAATTTCTTGACATGTCTTGCAAGCTTAGGACGCTCAGCTAATCGTTCCAATCGGCCAAAGCTTTTCATATTGAATCTTAATCCTATACTTCTGAAAAGATACGGCGCAGCCAGCTCGCTGAATCTTTTACACACCAGCCGCAGACGGGCAAAATGTTGTTTTGAATCTATATGTTCCGGTTTGTATGGACGTGGGCGTGCCCAGGGATTCGCTCGAGGAAACTCATGAAGGCCAGGCTCGAATTGATCGAGAATCTCGTTGAAGACTTCTGTCGGAAGAGTTTCCATTGTATGGGGTTTATGCATTCAACACGAGGCAGCGAACGTGGGGTAGAAGAAAAGTAAAATCCCGAAGATCTTCAGAAGGGATCTATCCAGGGAATGAGAGAAGCCAAGAACAGTTGAAAACTTGAAATACGACGAGCAGATAACGAAAGTGTGAGGTGCAAGGGCGAAGTGGTCAGAGACCTGCCATTTAATAAGTATCTACCAAGGACATTAGGCGCCGCCAGCCTGGCGCATGGGGATAAATTCCGCTTGAGATGAGTAGCTGGGGTGAGGGTTTACGATCGTTCACTGGAGGACGTCCTGACAACAAGAGCCAGCAGTCGCACCAGGGGCAGTAGGGCAGTAGCCGTGAGAATTTTTGGAGTCTGCAAGAATAATCCTTGTCTTCGTTCAAAAGAACGCGCTGTTGACAAGACCAAAAAATACAATCAGTCTGAGACGCAATAATCAAGAAATCAGGGAGAGTGTGTGAAAGGAGGGGATGGGATGTGTGAAAGCCACAGGGTGGTGGTGGTGGGGAGGCAATGGGTTAGGGTTTATGAGAGGGGAATAGGTACAGTCGGCCGGGGGGGGGGGGGGGGGGGTTGAAGACGATCCAAAGATAGAGTCGATGGAGGGATCACTGTTCCTTTTTCTCTTCGTCTGCCAATCCGGTATTATGATGTACCACACCAGGCCGGCACATGACTTTGAGGACACCAAATTATGCACCCGCCCAACGGGTATGCACATCACCACCCTGCAACTGTTTAGCCGCTCGCCAACCAAATCAATGCCAGAAACATCATCCCTTACCCAATCCTCTCCCGAGCCGGGCATCCTCTCCTCTCCACACCCTCTTCCCCATCTTCTCCCTCACCTCAAGTGTTCATAATTGGCCTCGAGTGTTCAGGGGGAGCAACGTGTGCATGAACTGGACTCCCCTGCATTAATGGTATTCATTCCCGTTCACCAGCCTCAATTCTGCAATGGTAGACAATATCGATGCTGACGTGCCAAATAGAGATATTTACATGACCTAGTCTAGCTTCCTAGAAAGCAGTGAACGATCAGGGCACGTAGACAACATGGTTAGAGATATGTATTTGATTCGAGATTACTTACATAGAAACATCGCCGAGATCCCCCTGCAGCTTCCTTCAAACAATTTTTTTTTGCTGTATAAGCTCCATAGAGAGAGAAAAGGTTGTATTTACGGACCAATGCTTGATTGACGCGACATTCGGCTTTACTTACAATAGCATACTCAGGAAACTTGCAGGAAAGTGAGGAAGAGAAAAAATCCCTCAGCGGTGTCTCGAGTACATCAAATTTGATACTGTTACCCCCCTCACCAACTTTGAGTACTATTCTGCGATCGATTGCATCGGTGAAGGATCCAGGACTACAACTCTTGCCATCAGAATCTGACCCATGGCTGCTGTCAAGTCGGAAAAAAGATTTCTTACTAAAACTTTCCCCGTAAATTTACGCCTCAGTGTACACTAATAGCCACCGGCATAAAGTGATGAATACAGGATAATCAAACAGAGATTGTGACATTGAATTGGTTTGTAGTAAAAAGGGAAACGTTTCGAACTATGAGAGTCATGCATTCGGAGAAATACGTGGTGGTGTGTCGATCAGGGGAAATGGAGCGAGCAAACCTATGTTCTACACAATGCTCAAATAATCAGCTGTATTCACGATGCAGACATATGGAAGCATCACAACGTGTAATACAGGGAAAAGCAGGGAAGAGTACTTAAAATGAAATGACATAGCTCATGACCAGAGCTGATATGGTATATGAGACCAGTCAGTAAGAGAATTAAACCTACGATGCATGATTTCTGCAGAGAAGTAGAAGATGGTGGTGCTGGTGTTGATGATTGTGGTAGTTGTGATGCTGACGTATCGTATCTGACTGGTTTGATGACGACCATCAACCATCTCAAGGTGGTACAAGACGCGTAGAGCATCCCGTAAAACGTGGCCTACGCCTGAGTTACTTGCATAGAGATATCACAAAGAGGGAAAAACGATTTCAAAAACTAACTACATCGCAAGTTTTAGTTATGCACATTTCCCCCATGACCTCGCAGCAGTACATACTCCAGCATGTCGAGCCACTTTGGTGCACATTGACTGTAACTAGAACTTCTGATGAAGAATTTTGATCGGCCGGGCCTAGAACTTCGTTGCGATTGCAAGGTTTACACTGGCTGGCCTTGCAAATAGGTAAACAACAATAATAAACAAAGTAGCCTCCTCGATTTCTGCATGCATGCTAGTGCAATGGTGACGATGCCTTACCCAGCGTTGACATCTGCCATCATACTGCGTGCAGTCTCTAGATCACTATGCATATGCAGCCGTGATTTTTGATCCAGCTATGATCTATGAGCCGCGTTTATCGACAAATATCATAGCCGGTGGATACTAAGCCCTGGCCAAGTGCAAATGATCTGCGGGAGGGATTGTGCACCCTTTAGGCGTGGGGTTCATAAGGCCGAGGAATCATCCTAGCTTTAATGGTCCCCCGTATGTCGCAACATCTGGAAAGCAAATGAAACAGTGTCTGCATCGCGTAGTTCTGGACAACAGTTGCTGACAACGATCATATTTGGTTAGACAGCCATCGCAAGAAGCCTTGTGTGTCGTGGTATGGAATGTGTGGGGAAGCTGGCATCCCGTTGTCAGGATGAGGTGTCGTTCGGATTAACGTCGCTAAGTTTACTAAGGGATCCGAGACACACCCCACGTTCACATGCCATGCATTTCGGGGATTTCGCCCTTCTCTTCTTTTTCTTTTTCCTTTCTTTTTGGGAACTCCCGAAGGAGCCTCCTTCTTTTTCAAATATCTATCATTCATATGCATACTTCTACATACTCGACTACAGCTCCCGTCTTCATAGATTAAATCTCCCCTGATGACTGCAGTTGGCCACACCAGCGATCCAGGATCTGGACAGATGCCTACCAGTACGTAGTACATACCCCTTTTTATACAGAATGACAACAGTTGGTGTTGATTTTAGTTCCTGCAACATCAGCGACGTAAAGTACAACGAGCCACTTGATATAATCCCCATTTACCGAGCGGGGCCAAAGGGGAAAAAACACACGTACACCTTGCGAGTAGGTGAACGGCAGAAGACGAGGACAACAGAATGAGCAGGCATATGAATCGAAAGGAACAGCAACGAGTGCAGAAGAGATGCATGAGTGGCACGATTCTCAATCTCAGTTTTGAGCCCAATAACAGCAGGGTAACATCACCAGATAGGTACCTACGTTAAACACCCTCCCAGATATTCCAAACAAAAATAAAAATAAAGAAGGAAGGAAACAAGGAAATAAGAGCGAAGTGGGAATCAGAATGTGCAACATTAAGCGTGCAACTACAATTATTTCGCCCGACAAGTAAGAAGCCACTGAGACAATTATTATACGGATCATCATTGTTTGACGCTCAAATCATACACTTTCATGGTCTGTATGCATATTACTGTTCGTGACGCATGGATAGCATTGACTCAGGGGATGCCGAGGGGAAATGCTTTCAGCTCCCCGTGTAATGCACAACAACAACAACCATAATGCGATGTTGCTGGCACTTTCAACCAATATTCTTCACGGCTATATTTCAATCACCAACATCGGATGTTTACGGCAAAGTATGCAGCTATTACCTCGCCGACCAGTTTGCAAGTTGAACCTGGCTACATGGGTACAACGAACCTTTTGATCCCGCCTGTTAAGTGGAATGTAAAGAAGGATACGAGGAATCACAGGGGAAAGTGAATGATTTACATACGATGATGATGCGACACAACCCGCCTATGCCAAAAATGGGAATAAGCAATGCCAGCTATAGGTCTCTTGATTGAAGTAAACAACTGCGAGGGTCATCTACCCGTCCGCTCAAAGCCTACCTCTGAACTATCGTCAGACGACGGTGAGATGGCCGTCTTTCTATAAATGGCCTTGCAACCTTCATTATCAATTTTTCGCTCTTGGCATAAAAGGCGTCTAGAGCTTTGGCCGAATTGGCGTCAAGCAACTCTAGCCACCCAATTTATGAGTTGTCCATTCTGACTTGCCTGCGTGGTGTGATCCTTTGACTGGCTAATCCTCTAGATCTAAAAGTGATGAGGTTGAACGATTATCAACATTGAGATTTGCTTTTAGGAGCTAATGCAAGACGCTTGTTTCCGAGGAAGGCTGTACTTATGTAGGTAATTCAGCCGCAATTATCTGCAGAAGCACAAGCAGCAGCGGTTCATCTGGTAATTCTAGTGCGAATCGTGATCAAAGATTTGACTGCATCAGCCTCTGTAAAGATCCACATGTGATCTTGTCCCACCACAGTGCAGCACCTTATGATGATACGCCCCCAGATTGGACTGCAGAAAGCTTGTTCTTCCAGGATTGTGGCTGGTATCCTGTTATTTTTGGAAATTCTGTTACATCTTGAGTGTGTCTCCTATGGTCCTGCAGGCAGTCTGAAAACGCGAAGTACGTTATGTGTGAAGATGACCTGAGAGATTTAAAGCACTAATATGCCTATAGGATGAACTCTATTGAGTTTATTTTTCAAAGTGAAAGAAGGTTGGCCTATTACAAAAAGGCCAAGCTGTCTCTGTGGTACATTAGTGAGTGAGATATCATGATCAGTCGTTGTGTTCTTTTTATGTGTTACAATTATTTGGTCGAAAGAGCCACGATATTCTTGAATATGTATCTGTGCCTCCATAGTGTGGTTTTTAATTGTTTCAGAGTTTTTTCGATCGGGGGAACCTAAGACGCGCTGACCGGTTCTGGGCTAGCGTAGTTGGATTAATCACGAGTCATCACTCATCATGACATATCTATCGTGATCTGCATGTCCAACGCATTTCTTGAGACTCGCGCACATAGTATATAACAACTAATGCATTTTAGATTCTTTGAGATAGTCAACATTGTCTTCCTAATCCAATCTTTAACAGATTTTCTCACACGGGCCAGCTGTTGATGGTCTTGCGTACTGAAACATGAGGGGTACCGAGGTGTAGCTGCAAGGGCCGATCTACATCTATTATATATGCTCATTAAAATAACTACTATGCAGTTGATGACATAGTTGATATGGCGGTATTCCAAGAGTATTCGCCATACGAGACTGATGCGCATGCCGCTTGCGCAATTGAAGGACTATCCAGGGAATGGGTATTATGATTATGCTGCATGCATGCTGCATCTCTAGAGTACTAATTTTTTCTTCTTTTTTTTCCTTGTTGGAATTTTCGATAGGTGATACAAAGTCTTCCCGTAATTATCTCGAAAACCTCACTGACAGATAAAGAAATCTAGACTAAATAATTGCATGTGTATATATCAGTTATGGTCGATCCCGCACCTCCGAGACATAGAGAGAAAAGCAAAACAATATATCTCCGGAAAGTCGACATAGATGGATCGTCAAGTCATAAAAAAAACACGGAATTCCCGTGCCTTTTCTGTGAGATCAGCACGTGCATGTCCCCAACAAAAATGTCTAGTAGGACGAACCGCGGAAACAAAAAAAAACATGGGGTGATCCGAAAAAATAAAAAATAAAAAAAAAGATCGTGATAGGGGTTGTGGCCATTCAGGTCGTACATGAAATCTGCCCGAGAAAGGGTCTCAGAATCATATGGTTCTCAGTGCAACCGGGTTGCTTTTGAGGGGGAATAGTGCAAGTGACTACAAATCGGCGGAAAGAACGCGGTAGTTCTCATATCATAAGGATCAACTTTTTTCCATAGCTTAGGTGCGGGTTCTTCTTCGTTGGGCAAGAGCTGCAGGTATATTAAGAAAACCTGGAACTTATTAAGAAGGCTGGACAAATCTAGAAAAATCTAGTATCGCGGATCAAAAGTGTTGTCCCTATAGTATTGCAGGTATTATATACATACATGTATCGTGTTACAGGGCGCCTACCAGCGGTGCGATGGTTTGCGCCCGGTACGGGTCCGATTCTCGTGTGCTGATTTCCGGTAGTTTGACTCGGTATCAGACAGAGTAGACTAATTCGAAATTCCGGTTAACGGGTTGTTGAGCAAAATCTATCAATACCGAGTGATTTCCCATGACACAGGCCGCAGCTGGATAGGAAGCTGTCTATGTCGAGTGATAACCTGTGATCACCACCCGCTATTGATTGATAATTCATTTGGGTATATCATCACCGATGCGGTGCTGGACATACTCGAGAGTACATTATTTTTGGCTTGAATTTTATCTAGGATCTATTGTATACTCGTACCCTTAGTCTCGTTAATTATAGGTGCGCCAGCGCTTCCATCCACGATAACCTCAACCCATCCTCCAAAATCCACCACGAACGCGCTAGAGATATGATGGAATGAATGAAATGCACGTAAACAACCTCGCAAATGGAAAATCCAGAAGTCAAGCAACACACCAAATACAGAATAGCCGAGCCATTCCTCATTATCGTAATTTTTAACCAACTAGGTGGGAAAAGGACGTGGTGATGTCGATGTTACGATAAATAAAGTAAATAAAGAAAGGGAAAAAAAAAAAGAAAAAACTGCTAACTTCCTACCAGCCAACAATATAAAAAGCAGTACCACCAGCCCATAAAAACATTGGTCATCATTGTCCTGTTCAGCACCCGATTATACCTTAACTCCCCAAATCCCCCTCCCACCGAGCACACCCAACCATTCCCCACCACCACTCGCTCCACTTGGGCTCCAAGAGATGTTGTTAACCTCGTAGTCGCATCTCCAACTCGCGACTGGTATCCTCTCTTGGTTCGGCTGTCCCAATCCACCAGCACCACTAGTACCACCGGGAGTAGTATTAGCTGGCCCAGTTGGATTATTGATTAGGTCCCAAATAAGAACTTGACAATCATCTGCTCCAGCAGCAATGATACCACGACGTGTTGGATTCCATTCAACACAGTTAACGCTGTTATGGTGGCCCTTCAGCTCTATCAGGGCTTGACCTGGTTGGCGGACATCGAGAATGCGGACTATGTTGGAGTCTTGCGAAAATGTTGCAATTAGGTGAGTGTCGTGTGGTGAAGCTATAGAGGGATTCATTAGCTACATCACAGATGATTTGAAACCTGAAAGGCCAGGGGGCACAAACCAGCTAGTCTTAGCAATGGCGGTGGGGATCCGCCGCCGCCGACAGGCGATCCACCATCTTCTTTTGAAGAATCACCGCTAGCACCTTTACCGACACCGGGCTCATAGATGATGGTACTATGTTCTAGACTTCGAAGGTCGAACATGCGGACACTCCCGTCGGCCCCGCAACTGGCAAACACGTCTAAGGATCCACTCATAAACCGCACATCGTAAACCTCTTTATCGTGGGCAATGAGTTGAGTCTTCGCCGTTAGTGTCGGGATATCCCAGATAGTGCAAGTGGTATCAATAGAACTGGTGATTATCAAGCTAGGACTGATCGGGTTCCAATCCAAACTTGTCAGAGGAGCAGTAAAGTCAGTGCTTTTACTGTTAGACAATAACGCGAGAGGCGTAAGTTTCTGCGTGGGTGGGTCGCGGAGAGTGTTGGTACGAGTAATGGAGTTACCTGCAGGCGTGGCCGAGGAGGAAGATGTGCCTGATGGGGAATTTGGCATGGACCAAAGACGGAGATGGTCACCGGAGGTAGCAATCAAGTCAGTAAGAGGTTTAGTGGTGCTCGCAGGTTCCCAAAGGATTCGGGTGATTGGGTATGTATGGGACGCTTCAGCGAGTTTGGTGAATTCTAGAGAAGGGGCAGGAGGAGGCGTGTCGCCGTGGCTGACATTTACAGGAGTGGGCCTGGTATCAAGGATTTGGATCTATAACCGTTAGTTCACCCGTTGAATAATCTTCAACCCCGCAGGGTCCACAATATCCAGCAAACTATTTAACAACTAATTACCGGAGACAATACTAATCATGATGCAGTTTTACATAACCAAATCCACTAAATGTGCACTTCGTCGAATTTGATTTTGTATGCAAAACCAACACCATATGATTGTCTCGGGTCATCCCGCACATACCGCGCAACAACAAGAAAAGTGTGAAGGGGAGAGCTCACGTAATTATGGCTATCTTCTGCATAACTGCACATGGCAACCCTTCCATACCCTCCATTACTAACAGGCCATTTGCACCAATCCAACGCATACAGTGCGTACGGGCTCATCCATCGTCCATTGCCAACCGCCCCAATACCGCCGACCACATCTTCTCTCTCCCTGGTACTGGCACTGCTACCTGTAGTCATTCCGGGCAATCCCATTCCAGTACTTGTGGAACCTGAATGACTGTGCTGGGATGAATTTGTGTATGTAGGCGTCAATGCTCCCGGATGTGTATACTTTCTTGATCCAGATGCAGAAGGACTGGAATCCGCGTCTCGTGGTAAGTTTGTGTTGATATTCGGGGAGTATTTATTTGATGATGAATGCGATAGTCCACCCGTTGTGTTGGTCCTATGCATAGACGGCTGTCCCTGTTGTGCTGGGATGCCGCCCCCGCTGCTTGTAGCTATCTGCGGGATTGCTCCCGGTGCTGTAGTGATGCTTTGGATTTGCGGTCTGCCACCTGTAGCTGAAGACGACTGAGCAGCGTGATATGCCTGATACTGAGGCTGCTGTCCACCCGATGAGAGTTGTTGGGCCTGTATAGGATCTGACGGTCTATGACCTGAGTAGTCGCCTACAGGGCTAGAGTAAAGATCTCCCTGGTTCGGCAACTTCGTGGGGGATGGAAAATTAAATGACAAGTTCTTCTTTGTCGGTTGCTGCTGGATTTGCAATGGCGCAGGAAGCTTGTCTATGCTGCTCTGCGGAAGGGGAGCACTGTTGCCGAAGCCGACACCACCAGCTGATGACGGGGCAGAGAAACCACCGGCGGAGACTGTGCTACCCGAGTGGATAGGTGTAATACCACCGCTCGAGGAGGTATTGACGTTGAGATTGCTTGAAGAAGTCTGTACACGGAGTGAGGTGTCTCCTCCACGAGAGGATTGGTGCTGCTGTTGTTGTTGGCTATGTTGCTGCTGCTGGGGCTGTTGGAAATTGCCGGCGGGCTTGGGAGCGCCGATCCCAGCAAGGGCTTGGGCGGCTTGTATTAGGGAAGAGGAAGCGGGGGGAGCCTCAGGAGAGTTTGTGTTAGAATTTGAGCGGTGGTGGAGGCCGTGGAGGGGCATTTCGGGGGAGGGGTATGAAGAGGGAGGGACTCCACGGGGAAGGTGGGTGGTGGGTGGGGGGGTGGAGGACGGGGGGAGGCGGAGAGTGATTGGCGAGATTACTGAAATGGGGGGGGGGGGGGGAGGAAGAACTTGTCACTCGTCTGCAGGACAAAGTTAGACACACACACACACACTTCACTCCTTCTGTTCAGGTTGTTTTGGGGCTGCCAACACAAGAAGAAGAGGGGTGGTGATGCGTGATGAGAGTGGCTGAGACAGTGTTCCAGCCCCGCTATTCCAGCCACAGGTTTTTTATAAATGTGAACACAGCTGGGTCTGCATTAGACTGCATACACCAAAATCTGGAGCCTTATGCAGGATTTTGCGGGTATGCAACCCAGTTGTGTTCACAAACGCTATGAAATTACGAGTACCTCTTTCTGCGAATCAGAATTCTATGGGTCCAATGGTATGGACTGGTACAACTACATAAGACTTTTTCGTGTTGCCCGAATAATAAAAAGGTCCAAACAAACCTTGATTTATCGTAGCAACCAAACGAACGAAGGCCTCGGGCAGCCAAATAGCATGCTAGGTGCACAGTCTATATCGACTAATAATATCTAGGGGAAAGAGGAAATTTTGCCAAGAATTTATAAACTTTTACGCAACTTTGACGCTTGGCCCTAGTCTTAAGAGGGCCAATGTATCGATGATCCGTTACTGAGTTCTGAAGTACACATCTATTTCTTGTGTAATTCTCAACTAAGCTAGCACCTGGCATAGCTATTACTGGTAACGCATCTATCTACAACTCGCCCATCTACACTACAATTCCCACCCTTTGTAATTAAACATTGGGAACAGCTGGCTAGCTAATACCAAAAACAAAAGAAAGTGATAAACAAAAACAAAAATAGGTATAATAACACCCTTTCCGAACGCCCCCACAAAGCAATTAAACCAAAATACAAATGAAAAACGACAAAAGGAATTCCCAACATCCAGATCCATTACCTGGCCAAGCTCAAATCCAAAGGATCCATCTAATAGCCCCAATTGTTCCTCTAAAAACACCTCTGAAGATGTTCAATACGACTACAACTAGCCATACCCACCACATCACTCCTAGAACTACCCACTCTAATAGTACGTAGCCTCCCCTTCTTATCCATCTCAACTGCCGCCGTTTCCTCCTAGCTATCGCAGCAACCTGATCATTGATCCCCTTGACAGCCAATGTACATGTTGTTGTCATTTCCTCGTTCAACTCGTCAGCTGATTCCGCGACATTCGTCAAACTCGGCACTAATTCGGTTTCAATATCATCCCTGATGCGATCGATCAATTTTCGCAGATCCGAAACTGTGCTATCTGCGAAGGATCTCGCTTTGCACACAAATACTTGTTCTGCGGCGCTAATATCCCGTGATACAGCAACAGAGGAAAGCATATGTTCCTTTGCAGTAGCAACGATGGTGGCTGTGCCCACATCTCGTGCCCGTTTCGTGGTGATGCCACGCGCAAAGATGCCCGAACGGGTCAGATGAGCCTTTGCCATCATAAGCTCCTTGCGTGTCGCGAACACTGGTTCTTCCACGCTTTCTGGAGTGTCTTTGCGGCCAGGGATGTCTTCCGCTGCGAGAACTGGTTGTTTGGGTAGTGTCTTGATGGCTTCAAGTGCTATTGATCGGAAACGATCGATTGGGGGCATGCGTCTTCTATCACTTGCTTGGAAGATAACTGACCCTACTGGGGATGCATCCCTTGAGAGCTCTTGCGCCGGTGGTGATAATCTGGAAGGCCTTGAAGTTTGGTCATCATCGGTATCCACGTCTGATGTTGCAAAATCGTCCTGCATAAGTCTAGACTTGCTTGCCCATTTCGCGAGAATGGGAGAAGAAGGAACACCAGGCGATGCTATACTGGGCATCGCACTCAGAGAAAATGAACTTTTATATTTGGTCGTCGTCCTTGTGGGCTTCCTCGTATCCGGAACTTCAAGCGAGGACCTCCCCCATGGTCTCCCAGACCTCCTTCCTTCGTCTTCCGGTTCCGATGCTGAAATTGTGTTTTCCCTGGACAGGCGAAATCTATCGTCGTCACTCCTGGAGCCAACACTTTCTGCAAATATGGAGCCTGTAGGGCTAGGCTGTGCGGATCCGCCTGGGTCTCGTTTGAAGATAAAGTGGTCAACTTTGGTGCCCACCTCATTTCGGATCTTTTCAACACGGCCCTTTAGACGATTTTTTCTGCTTTCCTTCTCTTTGTCTTTGAGCGCTCCTTTGTGCACTGGACCATCTATATCCAAGCTTTCCCTGCGCCGATCTAAACTGCCCTCCCGTGCTTTCACGAGTGCTTCTTGGCCCCTCTCTAAGAGCTTCTTGGCCGGGCTTGTCTTTCTTTTCTCTTCTTTCCCGCCCTCATCTTCTTTCTTCTTGGCCCTCCCCTTCCATCAGTGTCATATCCCTCATCCCTGACCTTGATTCTTGGTGGGCTTAAAGAAATTGCAATGCTTGGTACAACAACCTCAGCAAAGTCGACGCTTTTCCTCCCTGCTACAGACAGTGCCGTGATGTTCCCATATCTTTCTAATGAGCTCTTGCTACCCCCAAGTGCAGTCGGTAGGCTCATTCCCGTCATTGCTGTCGCCATCCTTGAATGATCTTGTTTCCTTGGATCTCCATTCCTCCCAGTAGAGTCATACTCCTCATCTGCGGAATATGTCCTTGCAATAGGGCCCTGCATCCTCCCTCCCATTTCTGCCATCCATTCCAGCTCTTCCTGCTCTTGCCGTCTCCGCCGTTCATCGGCATCTAAGATATATGTATCGCCCCGTTTCTTTTTCGCCTTTTTCTTGCTGTGTTTCCCACCGGTTATGATGTCTCCTAGCTTTCGACGGCGACGATGGTGTTTTCGTTTTGCCTTAGCGTCAATCTCAGGCCCAGATATGTCGACCTCCAGGTCTGAATATTCCGAAGTATAATCGACCTCACTCTCACTACTATGACCACTTTCATCTGATGAACTCGGCGGGTTTGAATACGCAAGGTCCTCACTCCCATCGCGATGGGATCCAAGTTGTAGTAGTGAATGGTGGAACTCTCCAGATTGTTTCGGCTTTCTTTTACTGTCTTTTTTAGTAGGGCCGTCTACACCCTCATCCTCTAGGTTCCGCAAACTCCGCTTCTTAAGAGTGAGCTCGAATGAGCCTCTATGTTTCTTATGCTCCTTCTCGAGTAAGCTCTTGAGACTCGTATGACTCCCACTGCCTTTAACTTGTTCTTTACGTATTTTATCTGCTCTTTCATCACTCCTTTGTATCTCCTCCCGCCGCAATCGATCCGCTTCTTCGATCCAATAGAACTCTGCGAGCAATTCTTGCGGAGTTATAACCCAATCTAACCGTGACCTTTTCGTTTTTGTAACACTCATACTTGGCTGTGGCGGAGGCGGAAGTCTCGGTGGTCTCACGTGTCCAGCCTCCATCGAGTCGTGAACGGCCACCGCTACATCCTCAACCCACTGACCAACTGCACCCGGATCTTCCCATGAAGAAAGATCTAGTTGAATCCGTTCTCGGTTCCTAATTCTTTTATTTCTTATTGACATGAGAGGGTTATAGACTCTTCCGGTGCTCAAGCCCACGCTACCGTGCCTTGCCGAGCCTGTTAATGGACTATCAGAGGACGGATAGATTTCTAGTAGTCTCTTGTAGAGATCTGAGAGTTCTAGTTGTCGCTTCGCTTTTAAAGTCCGCTGGATTGTAGCTTCGGTGAATTTATATTGTCTTTGTAGTTCGCGAAGCTCTTGCTGTTCCTGCAAACCTCGTTGTTTTTGCAACTGCTGATATGGGAAACCTGATGGCAAAGGCGATATCGGACTAGGATAACTTTGTCGCGGGTTCACTGGCCCTGGTGCAGGTGGGGGTGAGGATGAAGGATTTAAAGGTGACAATCTTCGTGAACCATTTCCAGAACTGTGGCCGCCGATTGAGACGGAGCGCCGTGTATCTATACTGCTGGTCATTAAGAACCCACGATTCGGAGAAACTGCACGGGCTTTCCCATGGATATTTCCTTGACTTATTGGCTGTCCAAACATTGTCGACGACGCGCTGAGCCACCGATCCCTCCCATCACCTACACCGTTACCAATTTCAGGGGCCCACATATTGTTAGAAGTGTTCCTGTGTTGTGCCGCTACTCTGCTCGTCTCAACCTTCCGAGTAGCCCCATTCGCTAAAGCAAGCGAGACTATTCTCGCTGTATCGCTATCTTCCGTCACTAGCTCTTCGTTTGCCTGTGCCATCGGTCCCCTATAGCCTCTCATTGACGGCTCCAGACTGGATATCCCAGTTCCTAATCCCCGATGTCCATAGCCTCCCTGAAACTCCCTCGCATCTTTATGTGTCTCCCGTTCACCCCCATCATTCACGGTGGCAGTATCGAGAAGGAATCCACCTGCTTTCCGAGATTTTGTAGGTTTCCTTCCGAGTGAGAAAGCGCTCGATATGGTTCTACTCCGTGACGATGATCCAGGGGATGCTCTTAGGGGAGATGTGTGGGAGTTTGCGAGCGTTGAGGAGGAGGGTTGATGTTGTACTTGCGAAGGGGCCAGGGTGGACTCAGTTGACGGGAGGGAGGGCGTTCGTCGCGTGTATGGGATGGCCATTTGGATTGGTAGATCTTGTAAGGGTGAGGACAGAGTGTTAGTATATTGAGGGGGTGGGGGGCAGAATACATGTATGAGTGAGAATAACTTCGAGGCTAGCTTACCAGGCACCTTGGAGACACCTTCTCACAGTTCCTTCCTTCTCCCTTTGTTGAGATCCCTTTCTCCGGTGTTGTATGTATATGTGTGGGGGGGTAAATAGATTTGAAGAATGGTTTGAATATTGTTGTATTCGCTTTCTCAACTTCACCGTAAGAGGTATGTACCTAGCTCTCCGTGTCTGTGATCCCCCGGGCTTGTGTCCATGTCTGTCCGGTCTGGTGATGATCGGTAGCATTAAGCCGCGCTTCATCTATGCCCAGCCCAAGTGTTCGCGCAACGTTCAAGCCTTTCTTGGCGCCAAGTAACGCTTGTCCGCTTGCATGTGAGAGATGACCCAGATGCAATGCCTAGCCCGGCGCCCCTCAGACCTAACCCTGTGGAGTAACCGTCGTGCATGAGTGATCTCCCGTGATCAACGTACCAAGGTTTCCCAAATCTCGGGTTTCCGGGTACTTAACGACTCACGATACACACATACACAGCTAGCTAGAGCTCAAGCAATATTTTTATGTTTATTATGCAGATATGAAGTGTTTAGCTACTTAGTATGCACTCCTCTTATACACGCGTATGAAACATTCAAGAAACATCAATGCGCGGGAGATTGCTAACAATACAGTAGAGCCCTAGCACCGGAGGACAAATCTAACTTAACGGACGCTCCCGAAAGCGGGGTGTTGCAAACCCAGGCCGTTATACTTCTTCATTTTCTTACATTACTCTCTTAGTTATTAACAACGCTCTTTAGAATCTAAACCAAGCTAGGTCAGTCCAGCAGTCCGTGTTTAGCTATTAGTTGAAGGGCTTCAGCTATAGTACTCATGGAGTAAGTCTCAACCACAGAAACCTTGCAAGAGTAATTTGTAGCTACATGCGTGCATATAAGTACAAATCTAACGGTTAGCCACAGTCGTGTGCTAAATACACATAGATACACCACTAGATTGTACCATGGCTAGTGTGGCTCGCGAAGCACTGATGCTCGAGATCTCGCCTCGAACTCCTCGAGGTTTAGGTAATCATAGTGTTAGTGGCATATATTCAGTAGGGTTGATATTTCCGATAGGAACATTGGAAGTATTCCTTACATTTACCTTCTAGTAGGTATTGCAATAAAATGACGTTTTGACAGATCTAAGTGTAGTAATTACCTGCCTCGAGCCAGCTCGAGCACCTCGAGGCATCACCTCTTTTTGAACGAGCAAGCAAAGGCATAGACCATATTACGATGCAGAGGCACATTGAGGCACCTTGAGACACATTTATCTACTTGCCTCCAGCAGCCTTGTGGACCACACTAATAATGACCAATCACCTCAACTTGAACATATTTAGGATTCGAACTCATCTTCAAGTGTGCGGCGGACATAAGTAGGCAACTTATACGTATAGTTCTCGTTCAAAAATCATGAGACAACGCAACCGCGAGTTGCTACGAGGGCTTGTCCCAGGATTTTTGACATGGAGTTATACAAACCTGAGCTGCAGCCTTCAAGTCAGAGTGATAGTTTGCTCACTCGTGGGGGAGGCATAGGGATTCTAAGCCCATTATAAAGATAAAAGTACCTTAGGTTATCCGTCACATGTAAGACTTGCTGCTGCGGTGGTTCGTTGTCGTGGCGCGGGGCTGCTGCCACGCTGAGCCTATTCATTATCGTCACTCGGGGATTGATATCCACCAACGCGCCATACATTTTACTGGTACATACAAGGCTACATAGGTTTTGCCCTAGAATGACTGCTTTATCCTCCACATAACCCTAAACTATCTCGTGTTTATCGGTTTAGGTCCACACATCTGCAGCTCGTCTCACCCATCCCATTTCTCTACACATTTCCAACATGACTTCAGGAATGGTTTTAAAACAGCCTGCCTCTGGCGACATTCCCAAGGAGCCGGCCTCAATTCCACCAAATTATGAAGATGTAGAAGATCCGCATACACCAAAATCAAAATCTTTCCTAGGTTGGCCAAATTCAGAAGAAACTTCAGGACCGGAGGTGTGCGAGGGGCCCTGTTACACCTCTACAGTGCTCCAACTCCCACAGAGGTCGCCACCTTGCACAAAAGCCGCGAAAGACGACGAATCCGCCAGTATAATGAACTGGAGCAGGTTCAATAAGAAATTTGAGAATTGGACGATAGGAGCACCCTTGAAGATTACAGAAAAGTTTTCAATAGATACCTGGATAGAAATTCTCAGCTATGTAGAGTCATCTAACGATCTATACTCGCTGGCTCTGACCTCTCGAACCCTTTATAACCTGGCGCTCCCTCATCTCTACAAATCAATTCTATTCGTTCGCCGCTCTTTGTATACGAGGTTACAACTAATGAAAAGCTCATCCCCATCGACCACCTGTTAAAACCAATCTCTCCGCCCCCTATCTATAGATGTGTCTCAAAAAAAATCGAATTTGAACCGCCGTTTGAGAAAAGACGCAGAATCGAACCCCGTGGCGCCCACCATGATCATTGTGGGATATCTTCAACGATGGCCATGTATCAAAAGCCGCATCTCCTCCGCTATGCGAGGGAGCTAAGGGTTGAGAAATGGGAAGCTCAGAGAGTAATCTTCGCCTCCGACTCTCTCCCTCAATTTGAAAAAGAATTCAATCTGTATGAGGTTGGGGAGTTTAGGCCCGAGGGAGTTAGAGACCTTATGTGGAGGCCAGAGGGGTGCTCAACCTATCAGTCGTTGAGTGGAACTCTCGTCGATCTGTTAAAAAGCATGCCAATGCTCGAGAAATTCAGGTATACAAAATCTCTATCATATCTCCTTCAATTGGTCCAACAGGCCGGTGATCCAGAAAAAAATCTAATAATTTACTACGTCCTATTGTAGCTACAATCCTCAGCGCTATAACACTTTTTATTATGGATCCAATAAAACTGCACTTCAAAAGACAGTTTCATGTCGTCTTCTAAGTCACAGTCCAGCGCAGGGTATGACAGGGTTGTTATTGGATACCTTGAAAAACATGCCAAACTTAACTAGTTTGACAATTAACTTTCGGGATTGGGACCCTTTTGACCCTGCCAACTACGGCCCTAATAGTGCCATTGGATTCAACAGTAGATACGAACCCCATCTACATGGTTTGGTTGGTTTTAAGAATCTAGAGGAACTTGTCATATTAGGAATCATGATTGGAGGCAGGTTCAACGAAATAGAACGCGTCGTCAAAGATCGTCTTCTCTCTAACAAGTCTGGAAGGAGATTGAAGCGTATAGAAATAAGAGCTCATACTGAGTTGTGGGAATTTTCACAAACTGAACAAGAATCATATGCAACTGGTGCACATGAACTTCTGTCATGGGTCAATTTTATGTGGGACACATGTTTTCCACCTTCAAAAAGATTCAGAAGGAGGGTCCGCAGGTCGGGGCTAGTGGACATAAACATCATTTTTGAGCTCGGTCCAACAAAATGGCAATTTAACTATGATAAAACGAGCTCTTACTCCTGCTGGCAGAACATCGCCGCCTTAGACTTACAAGGGCTCCCGACAACATATACCTTAGAAACTATCGATATATTAGTAGAAAGATTCAGGTTACGTCAACCGCAACATTTAAAGGTTTTCGCGGTTAAATGCAGGATCTGTTACCTAAAGAAATTTCTCGGTCGTTGCCGTGGGCTGAGAGAACTATATGTTCTTGATCCTGATATAACAGACTCATCATCCATATCTGATAGGATCGACATTAAAGGCATCCATGGGGTTTTTGACACAATATTTAAACGTCACTTACTTACACTTGAGGTTTTAGTAGTGGAAGAAGCCATTTGCATACCCCAGTCGGGCGGCACAAGCGAAGTTATCAACCCAATCGAGGGGTGGAAAGACCGTGGAGGGAAGTTGCGTGAACTCGCTGTTAATATCTGGGGTCCCTGGGAAGAAATTAGTCGGTTTTATCATCTTTCCAGAACTTGAAAGCAATACGTCTGTTTAGTCGGAGACGCAATAAAAAAAACACTGAAAAGAGTTTCCCATGGCCAATCTTCGAATCAACTTTCGTCATTCATGGTGGCCACCTTTACGATGCCCAGACCACTGCAGTTGCAGTAATGCTAGCAAATGCATGGGGGCGGGATGTTATAAGGGGAAAAAACGGTATGGGATCGTTGATTCCCGAAGGACACAGATGGATCTGGGTTGGGGATTGTACTCGCCCTTGGAAGTGGCACACTCACGATGCGGAAAAGTACGCTGGATGGATGAATTTTGAGTCGCAACTATGGTTCAAATACTACGATCGCGATAGCTCACGATTCAATTGGCGAGTATGGGAGGAGGAGGTGAAGATGTCGAAGGTTTTAAGACAGGGTGGTATCTTAATACACAGCAGTGAGAAATTTGAGGTGAAATGGGAAGGATGCTGTGACGGCTGCTCTTAAGAGGATTCTGGGGAATATGAAAGGATACCATAGAATCTCTGATTTAGGATTCAATAAATCCGTTCGTTTTACACTGTGCATATCTTCTGTCGGTCTAGTAGGGGTGTGAAAATACGAAGGATAGGTAATTGCCTGTAGAGAAATGAATACTGCATAGTTCTGTATACATACATGTACTTAATCAACTCAATATCCGATTACTGCAGTATTCGTACCCGGCACGGAGATACATACTTGTTCTTTTGAGCTAGAGCTACACATACATGTACATAGCTACTTTTTGACGCCCCCCTTGTAGGATACATGTACGAGGACATATAACAGTACATCTAGTACCTAGGGCCCTTATGTAGGTACAGCATAAGAGATGAGCACATGGCGTACCCAGGTAATAATCCTGAGCTGTCATCATCTTCAGCGTCAATATCATGATGAATCATCGTAGTATTGACAAGTACGGGTACTACCATATTAGTATATGTATTTACATTTACAACCCCCTCCCTTCTCTGTTATATACATGTATATGCATATGATGAACCTCGAGACTCCATATTGTGTAGCATGCCCTATCAACCGGCTCAACTCATATATTACCGCACTATTTAAAGTTTATACTGAGATCAAACTTGCATGTATCACATAGCAATTCCTTGATATCTCATGGCTACATGTGAGAGTAGGGGTTGATACTCGATAGTATGATGGGACTTGATACATGTAGTTAAATGACTGAGAGTGAAGCTTGTGGATACATAGGTGTCTATATGATGTAATGGCTTGGACAGGTTTCATTTTGGTGTGCGTAGTACATAAATCTCAAAGCTTAGTACCGATACTCCATAAACATTACAACCCAAATAACAAGAGGATACCTAAACTACCACCATGTATTTCAACGGCTTTATTTACTCTCTCTCCGTCATGGCCCTGGCTATAGCTATATCCGCCCAGCAGGATAAAAACAACAGTCCCAGTGTTGATTTTGTACCAAATGTACTTGTTCAAAGAAACGTCTTTAACCTGACTTCATCACCTATAGAATGTAGCAGCGATTGTGACGGTGCCTATAAGAGGGCATGTAAGTATTTCTTACTATAAATCGTTCTTTGTCAGTATATGCGAGGCTAATATCTTGCTGCCATCATCAGTCACTTGTGGTTTGGGAGAAGATATTGTTCTTAATAGGGCCTCTAATGCAGCCTTTAATCCACAATGCCTGTGTAATAGTGGCGGGTTCCTGCAAGACGCCCCGGGGTGCATCCAATGTTTGTTTGAACACCCAGATAAAGATATTACCCACCGTTCAATGTTACTGGCGATGATCGAGACGTGTGTGGATGAATATAATGTTATCCCCTGTCCTAGAGACTGTGCTCCTATTCCTTCCCTAATTACTTACTGCGACGGAATTGATGGAGCTCACAGAGCTGGCGCTCCCCTGCCCGACCCTAGATATCTCCCCCCACCTATAGGCATAGCTGGGGTAGATAACGATACCTTCCCATGCATATGTCGTGAAAGATATAAGAACATGGTTGACACATGCTTCAACTGTGTTAAGAAATGGGAAATAACCAGAGCCCTTAAGTGGCAGGGAACTACAAAGCAATGTCCACCCCAAAAGTCAAAGACTTCGCAGCGGCCTACAACTTCTCAGGGGCCACGAGCAACAAAAACGCAAAGACCTCCGGCTTCTAGCATTGCACAAGGAGACATTTCGGGTGTCCGGAAGGACTCTACTAGGACCAACGCTCCAAGTCAATTGACGGTAGAAGTTAGTGGAGGGAAATATGCTTCTGTCGTTCCGGTTTTCTTGTTATTTTCCTGGATAGTCGGGATTTTTGTTGGTGCTTTGATTCTGATTTAAGATGATTGTTTCTTTATTACATTGGTGAATGTAATAATGTGTCCTACCTATTCCTCATAAGTTTGTAGTAATCCAGCAATAATAAACCTTACCAAAAATGAACTTTTAATAAAACTCAATCTTATCTATCTGATAACATGAATTTTGGGGTTGAACCCTGACTGTGTGTCTTGGCGCAAACCGTCACACCACACCACCATCTCCCCACCTACGCCGCAAGTTTACTCTCACAGCCTAGCGAAAACGAGGAAATACGACCAACGACCAACTATAACCGCAACCTACTACGCGCTTCGTTCCTCACGACACAAGTTTTCACGAACGACGGATATAGTCAGTAATCATGGTACGTCGATATCTCTTCCAGCGTCGACGGAGGGTATTTGGAAGAGGAGAAGGAGGCCGAGAGGGGGTTTTGTGGCGACGTGTGGCGATAGATAGCTGATGGAGACTCGAAATATAGGCCCCAGCAGCTGCCCAAGGAGGAAAGAAGCAGAAGAAGAAGTGGTCCAAGGGAAAGGGTACATTCACAGCTCATTTTCCGGAAATACTATCTTGAACGAACACTAAATGAATCGCCCACCGAAAAATAGTTAAGGACAAGGCCCAGCACGCTGTTGTTGCCGACAAGACCATCCAGGACAGACTCAACAAGGATGTACAGACATACCGTCTGATCACTGTCGCCGTTCTCGTCGACCGTTTGAAGATCAACGGATCATTGGCCAGGAAGGCTCTCGCCGACTTGGAGGAGAAGGGCGTGATCAAGAAGGTTGTCGGTCACTCCAAGTTGTCAATCTACAGTGAGTTCCTCTTGCGGTCCCTTGCTTTTGCGGATTATGGCATATGGAGGCAGAATATTCGGGAGATGATGGTTAACCGGGCGGACATTTGCTAACGATGGTAATAGCCCGTGCTGTCGCCGCGGCCGAATAAGTAGGATAACGAGGATGGGTCCAATAAAAGTAAAATAAATTTCAATTTTTTTTCCGGGTTGCATTTCTTGTTCCGTACTATTTCAATGGGATTTCTGGATCGGTGTCAGGTTCGACAAGATCAACACAAACAAGTTATGCCGCGTACAGTTCGTTCATGGGTATCTGGAATAGGTATGGGAGACTTGGAACCTGTGACTCGAAGTTTGCAGTTTACAACCGTCTGAGATTTATGATTTAAAGCTTCAGGCCCGCGTCTGGTCTACTGTCAAATAGTGAATAGTGAGGGGGTGTTAAGCGGCCGCCTTAATTTTCCTTACTCTGGAGAATATCCGTGATCATAGCTTTTATTATGCTGGTTTTTCTGATGTCTGATGAGTTCCCAATTTTGTGGTTTCAACGAGGTTGTGGTGTCCACACCCCTGACTTTTTAATATATTGGCGGCATCCCGAGGCCGGCCATCCGTTTCGTGTCGCATTCGTGATTTAGATTGGCCCGAACACCGCGTTCCTTGAATACTTGAGCTTGAAGCTTGAGATAGATTTTTTTAGTAAGGAGACAGACATCTCTCCATAATTCAAGCTCTAACCCCGGAGAGACCCGTTGTATCGGATCCAGTTAAATCCGTGTGCCTCATCTGAACATCTGTCCTTATAGAGCTCACCTCTCTTCCACAAAGTCGGGTCTCAACAGGTAAACCACACCTTATCCACACTCAATCTGCAAATATGGCATCCGAAGACCCTGCAATCCGTAACCGTAAACCGCTATCTACCGATACCGCCGCTGACACGCCTGGCGTTGGAAACTCTACCAAGCGAAAGATTAAGTCTGAGGTCCAAAGCGGAATCTCATTCCTCGATGTCCTTCGCGTTATCTCTGGAATTATAGTGCTTAGCAGTGTCATGAGTTGGTTCGTGACCGACGGTGAGAGCTTCACATGGGGTTATAAGCCAGCTGCTTTGAGATGGAACAATGTCAAGATGATGTTTGTAAGTTCTTTTATTCCTTCGATTTTGAACATTATAGATACTAACTCAGTGCAGCGCACTCCCCTAAATCTCACCGATGCCGAGCTCGCGCGTTATGATGGCAAAGACCCCAAACTCCCAATCTACGTTGCTGTCAACGGAAGCGTCTTCGATGTCACCGCGAACCCGGCTACCTATGGCCCTGGCGGCGGGTACCATTTTTTCTCTGGACGTGACGCGGCACGCGCTTTCGTCTCCGGCTGTTTCCGCGAGGATTTGACTTGGGATATGCGTGGACTCGAGGAAATGTACATCAAGGGTGCTGAGCTCGAGACCGACCTGGCTGAGAAGGCTGAAATCGAAAGGCTCGAGACGGATGGCTCCATGGCAGGCAGGGTGAGATATCTCACAAGAAGAAGGGAGAAAAGACGAGTCGATGCTTGGGACAAAGTTGTCAAGTCGATTGCCCATTGGGATCAGTTCTTTAGGAACCACGACAAGTATTTCTATGTTGGAATCGTCACACACCCAGATATAAGCGGAGAGCCGATCAGAGAGCTCTGCCAGAAACAGAAGAAGCCTTAGACGATGGTCGGAAGAGAACACATTGTAGCCAATAGCGTATGGTTAAGGTTGTGTTCCTCTATTATTATTATTATTTTCTTCCTTAGGATTCGCCATGATAACGGGTTTTTAATAAAATCTGGCACTTGAATGGAATTTGAGACCTTTGAGACAAGAGATGTTTGATCCACCAATATTATGCTTCCTGCCAAACGAAAATCTGGAATTCTGAGCCTGTAGCTTCTGACAAGGGTCCTTATCAAACGAGACACCTCACCTGGACGTGATAAACATTAGATTAATCCTCTCCTCGTAGACATTCCCATAATTTTTATACCACTCGCTGAGAGGTTCAAGATACATACTAGTGATTCGGGATATGCTGCAATTATATCGTCGCTCCAATGTAGATTAGACAAATTGCAGGGTTTCACAAGCTGATAACCCCGCAATCAGCTGCTGAAAAGCACACAGTTACCCTTAGATCTACGCAAGCTCCCTATACGTCTTAAATCTCCGAAGAATCATGGCAGAAGCTATCGGGCTTGCAGCCAGTCTCATCGGTATCATCCAGCTCGCAGGACTGACAGCATCAATCAGCTATGGCTACATTAGTGGTGTCAAGAGAGCTCCCCAAGACCTCCGCGACCTCACTGATGAGCTCCAGGCTCTCAGCAATGTAATAGTTACACTAAAAATACACACAGATGAGAATAGCGAAATTCCCGGCTCGGTTCTGCATATGTTAGAAAAGCCGCTAGAGGCTTGTGCAAGGGAACTGGAGGAGCTGCTGGAGAAGCTGAAGATGAAGGGGATTATCGACCGGCTAAAATGGCCATTGAGAGAGAAGGAGACTGCGCAATGGGTGGAGAGGATCGAGAGACACAAGACCTTCTTTATGTTTGCGTTGAATACGGATCAAATGTGGTGTTTACCGGCCGTGGTTAGAGAAAGCATAGCTGACCGATAAATAGACTAGTATCTCGAGAGATTAAGACATACGTGCAGGAAGAGTCTATAGCTCAGAGGCGATGGAGAGAAAGAGATGAATCTGTTAGATTAGGTAACTATAACTTTCCCATATCAGATACACAGAATTTGGGACTGACAGCCATTGACCTTTAGCTGAGAAGCGCAAGAAGGTTCTTTACTGGTTATATGAGGATAGCTTTGATACAAAACATCTTGAAGTTAGTAATCTGAAGCAGAAAAACACGGGTCAGTGGTTTTTGAAAGCGCCTGAATTCCGACAATGGTACGAAGCAGAGTCACCCTCTTCACTGCTTTGGGGCTACGGCATCCGTATGTTTGACATTGTTCCCTAAGATGTCTCAATATTCTCGTTACCGGGCATGCTGACCTGACCTTTGTCAACAGCGGGGGCAGGGAAAACATTCATAAGCTCTGCTGTGATCAATTATATCGAATCCGAAGCAACGACAGAGAATTATGGGCTGGCATATATCTATTTCGACTACCAAGAGCAAAATCAACAAAAACCTACCCTTGTTATTGCTAGCCTACTCAAGCAACTTGCAACTCAAATCTCGTATCTACCCACAGAAATCGAGACTCTCCATAGAAGACTGGAGCGGCAAGATAAGAGACCCAATATTATGGAGTTGTATGACGCTCTTTTGGCGGTGTCTAGGCTATTCAGTCGTGTGTTCTTTGTTTTTGACGCACTTGATGAATGCCACCCAGAACGTCAACGCAAGGAACTGCTTCCTCTTTTTCATCATATGGTAAAAGACTCGGATCAGGTTCATCTGTTTCTTACTAGCCGTCAATATCCAGAGGATATCCAAGACTCTTTTTGTGACGCAGCAAAAATCGAAATCTCGGCCCAAGATGAGGACGTCGAAATGTATATTCTGGAGAAAATCGACGAGAACCCAAGGGCAAGACGACTCGTAAAGCAAGGTAGATGCAGAAATAGAATCGTCACTGAACTCGCAGAGTGTGCAAAAGGAATGTGAGTACCCAACTGCCTTTATTGAACTGCTGTAGGCTTTTGCTTGTTCAGTACTGCTTTACTGAGCTCTTGTAGGTTCTTGCTGATCCAGGACTACTTTAATGAGCTCCTGTAGGTTCTTGCTTGTCCGTTTCCATATCAATTATCTTTGCCAACAAACCACGACAAGAGGACTATTGGCCGAACTTGATAAGATCAGAAGCTCTTCTTCTGGAGAGAGGCCGTTGGATCCTACTTATGACAGGGCTATGCAACATGTTCGCAGGCAAGCCAAAAATTGCGAGGTTTTGGCAATAAAAGTCCTTTCCTGGCTTGTAAAAGCCAGGCGGACGCTTACAGTTGAGGATATCAGGGTGGCCGTATCTATAGAGCCAGGCCTATATGAGCTTGATCAGTTCGACTTGCCAGACTGCACAACGTTGTTAGATGTTTGCGCCGGTCTGATTGTGGTCGATCAGAGCAATTCTATCAAACTTGCGCACTATACTGTTCATGAATATCTCCTAAAGAAACTAATCATCCCAGACGACGCAGACTTTATGGTAGCCATGGCATGCACTACATTTCTTTCTTTCGATACATTTTCCAGTTCTAAATATCTTACCGCGGAGATCAATTCGCATCCTTTCTTTAGTTATGCTGTCGAAAACCTGTCCGTTCACCTGCACGAGGTCTGCGAGGACTTGACAACGGACATGGTTATGGATTTTCTTGGAAAACCGGGCTCCATCTACTGTTATTGGAACTCTTTCTTCAAATTGGACAGCAAAACCGAAAGGTTTGACTTTGCGGGAAGAAAAATGCCTTTGCACATAGCTTGTGCAATTGGGCACGTTACGGCTGTCCGATTACTACTGGAAAATGGCGCTGATATTTCGGCGAAGTATTTCAACGGACGGACAGCACTATTCCTTGCAGTATTCCGGGGTCATGAAGCAGTAGTCAAGCTTCTGCTCGATAAAGGGGCAGACCCATCAATTACCGATATGAACGACAAAACACCATTACACATGGCCGCAGCAGGAGGGCATGCGAATATAGCTCTGTTGTTATTGCAGCACGGAGCATATTTCTCAAAAACGGACTTTGAAGGCTCGGCATTGTGCCTGGCGATCTCTGAAGGTTCCGAGTCCGTGACGCAATTGATGATTGAGAATGGGGCCGATTTCAAATCTGCAGGAAATCTGGCAATCAATGCAGCAGTTTCTAGAGGGCACGAAAAGATCGTTTATCTGCTCATAGAGAAGGGGGCTGATATCTCCACTCCAGACCATAGAGGAGAGGTGCCACTACATCTAGCGGCATCCAGGGGGCATGAGGGCGTCGTCAGGCTCCTGCTCGAGCGCGGGGCTGATATCAACGCACGAAGCATGCTTGCCTGGTCACCGTTGTTTTATGCGGCGTATGCCGGAAGGGAAAATGTAGTCCAGTTGCTGATACAGTACGGAGCGGATGTCACGGCCTCCACCCGCTATGGATGGACCGCATTCCACCGGGCAGCCCTTGCCGGAAAGCCTGCAACGTTACGGGCTCTGATTGAGAACGGGGCCGACGTTCTGGCGCCAGTCAACGGCGGGAACACCGCTCTCCACATTGCAGTTTCCGAAGGCTATGCGAATGAGAACACAGTTCGAGTGTTGCTGGAGAAGGGCGCGGACATCAACGCCCGAGACAAAGACGGGAAGACACCTTTGCACACAGCAGCATATGCTGGACACCGGGGGTATTCAGAGTGCTCCTTGAAAACGGTGCAGATATCGAGGCACGTGATGGCCTCGGCCAGTCACCGCTACATGTTGCGGCGTTGGAGGGCCATGAGGAGGTGGTTCGGATGCTACTCGAGAAGGGAGCCGACGCGTCGGCGAGGAAGAAGGACGGGAAGAGCGTTCATGATTGTGCGTCGAGGAGAGGGAGACTTCCGGTTGTGGCACTGATAGAGAAGGTGCTGGATATGAAGGCACTCGACCCAAGGTCGAAGACGGTATAGATTTTTATGGTTTTAAGCGCTGTTTAGTGTCTTGCCTGTATATATATTAGCACACAGCTCTGCGTATTTCAAACTCAATATACCTATGAGTGTACTATCTTGGATATATATGCGCTGCGTTTTACCGAGAGATGATTCGACGAGGCGTGCTGAAACTCGGTGTTGCTGATTATATAGTGGTGATAGGCACTGCGTAGAGTAGTATTAATGGTGGTGCTGGCGCTGATCATAAAGAGACGATCTATGATAGTTACCGAGCCCCGGAACCCGAAGAGAGCCGGTAGTCAGCTACTTGTACCTTTCTAGCCCTAACTGACTCACAACTTCCGGGGACGTTCAGCTACTCACCTCTGATACTATAGACATGGCAGTTGAATTTAGAGTCTCCGAGTGCAATTCCTGGCTGATCATGCATGGTATATTGTGCGGCGGTGGGCGTTTGTGTAAATGCGTCATGGGATCTCACTCGGTATAGCTATCCCCTACGTTCACACTACATGTACCCTTCCTTATCTCACTTACTGTGTGTTATATCTTCGTGGACACATTTTAACGTCTATCGTACATAGCCACTACTAGCTATATATAGACACCCGGCGGGCGGAAAGGATCCTTATGCGGTGGAGCGCGGTAATCCATCCATGGCGGGGCAGCAGCTTGTATATGGAGAGTAACTAACAACCAATTACCTCTCACCGCTAGAATATTCCCACATTCTAGCGGGCGCCACCGTTTCTCGTGCTCACGGTGAATGACCCCCGGTTATAAGGTAGGGTCATGGCATATCACTCGATGTGATTATTGGGGGATTTCTTTTGTAGGATAGCAGGGCATTGATAGCCCACCGAATAGTTATAGAAGTACATCCATCTACCTTAAGTAATTAAGCCAAACCCAGTTGCAAAGCGAAGCAGATATCCTCCCCGGCCCAGAAATTACTACATCTGGAGCTAGCCCTATCTACCCCAACTCAAGTCGCCGCAAGGAAAATAAGAGAAGAAAGTCTACATTTCCCCTCATCATTACAACAAGAGAAAGAAAAGAAAGAAAGGAAATAAAAAGGAGGAAATAAATAGCCTACCCCCACTACTACTTCTTCCCAAACACGGCCTCCAGCGCCTCCACCTCCGCCAACCCCTTCCTCACCACCGCCCCATCAAACTCACCCCCGACCACCTCGCCCCTCGCATTCAGCCGCAGGCCCCGCGACGCCTCGATATGCCTCCTCGTCATCTGCTCGATATAGCGCTTCCTCTCCTCCTCTGGCGTCAGCTTTACCACCCCTCCCACCCCCCCACTTTCCCCCTCCCCATCCACCTCCATCTTCACCCCCTGCGCCTCCTGCGACGCCCGGAACGCATCATACTTTGTCCTCAGCGCGCCCACCAACTGCCGTATGAGGTCGACCTGCGAGACGGCAAACGCCGCCGCGTCCCTAGTCGGCGTGACGAACGAAAACGGGTTCTCGCCGCTCGATGTGGACACGAGAACACGCAGCTGGGCGAGCGTCTGTTCGTTGGCGGATACCTCTTTGCGGAGCGTCTGGTTGAGCGCATGGGATGCGAGGAGTGTCTGGCGGAGCGTGCGTAGGCGCGTTTGTGCTTCTTGTGCTGGCGGCGCGGGGGTGGGGGTGGGGTGGGGGTGGTGGTGGTGGAGGTGGCGGTGGACGCGGGGAGGGTCTTGAAGTCGAGGTTCTACCGCCCAGATGTGTCAGCGCCTGTTGTGCGCGGGGGGGGGGGGGGGGGGGGGGGGGGAGGAGGGAGAGGAGGGGAGTACCTTATGGTGCGCCAGCCTCACCCACGGCACAAGGTCCTCCGGGACCGTGAGGATATTGCGCAGGACATAGATCTCGAACCTGTCAAAGCTCCTATCGACGGCGCTCTCGAGAAGGGTCTCGAGCGAGTGGATGCCCTTCTCGAGCTCCTCGGTCTCGGCGTCGCTGTAGAGCTCGGTGCCGTCGCTGTTTGTGTCGCGGATTGTGCCCGGGGGAGGGAGGAAGCCGAGGCTGGAGGGCGCGGAGGTGAGGAGGTAGGTTTCGACGGCGGCGACGGAGTGGTAGAGGAGCTCGTTGGTGGTGTTGATGATGTCGTCGATGATGGTGAGGGGCGTGCAGCGGAGGTGCTCGGTGAGGAGGGCGGTGCAGGCGGGGGAGGAGGCCATGGGCGGCGGGCGGCGGGGGGAAGGAAGGTGGTGTCGCGGTGGTGAGAGTGACGGTGAGTCCCAGTGAGGTCAATGGCTCGCGGTCTCAGATGTGTGCGGTTCGTGGGGATGTCACGCAGTAACTACTCAGCGCAGTCGATGGCACTTGTAATTGCGGTCAGTCACGCATTAAGGTCATGTAATCAGAAGTGTAGATCGTGTTTTGCGTGTCTTGAGCCTCACCACAACTCACTCTCCACTGGTAATGATCGCGGCGCGCGCGGGGGGGGCACACACGCGCGCGTCGTTGTTGGGGGTCGCTGCTGCAGATCATTATCGATGCGCCGAGTGACACAATGGCTTTAATTGCACATTCTTATTTATCATAAGAGGGGCTTTTTTGAGGTAATGCCCCCAATATTAATAATACCGCTTTTGTGCTTTTTCTTAGATACATGCAGTTTTTTTGGTTTCTTTTGAATGTTTTGCATGGAGAGAGAGTGATGGCGTGTGCGGGTGATTGGATCATTGGCTGTCACTCAGCGCGTGGACGTCATGTGCTCGTGCCCGGGGTTGGCGTGTGCTTACCGCATGGGGGAGGAGAGAGTGAGAGATCTGTGATAAGAGAAAAAGAGGAGGAGGAGAAAAAAAGGAAGGGAGTTGTGTAAGTCTAGCTCGAGTGCTAGGAGGAGACAAGGAATGGGTCGATGGTGACCTCACTAGCACTCATGGTAGTGATCACGAAATATTACTGGGCTTGAACTTCAACAGTGTAAACCTGCAAACCTTAACACACCCCCGCGGATGTACCCAGCGTACCTTACACAAACACTCGCCCCTTGCTGAAACCCCTTCTCTTCTTCCTTCCTCACTCTATTTCTACACACTGTTGCTACCGGCCTTCCCCGTCGTGCCCCCCGTTTCATACAAGTTCCTTTTGACCAGCCCAACAGCAAACAACCTAGCAGTTATAGTTGGTAGTGGTAGTGGTTGTGGTTGTGGTTGTGTTGTGGTTGTGGTTGCGCTTGTGGTAGTAGCAGTACTAGCAGCAGGACTCTGATAGCCCCACCACTCACTTCACTCACACTCACTCACTCACTCACTCACTCACAACCTCCGACCAACATCCATCCATCTCCGTCATCGCCCCCCCCGTTCGTTGTGCCTGTAAGAAAAATATCTGCCGACTTCTCTACTGGCTCGTCCCTCCCCCCCCCCCCCCCCCCAACCCGTGCAGTGCAGTCCACACATCCCGATCCCATCACTCTGGTCATCCCGTCATCCCCGTCGCTCCCGTTGTCCTGTCCATAGGATCTGCTTGAAACCCGAGCATCTCTTTCATCTTCGAATCATTCACCACACAACGTCCAGGATCTGGGTAACTACCACATAGGTATACGACATACACGCGCAACGCACGCAGTACAACCTCCTGCTTGCTTTGCCCTTCTGGCAATATCTATCGAGGGCCTACATACATACATACATACAACCTACCTACAGCAGCACCTACCATACCTTTCCTTCTTCTTCTCCGTCCTGTTAACTGGGTCTATACTACACACACTCACACTCGCTCTCCTCTCACTCACTCACTCACACACTCACACTCACTCACTCACACATACTCTCTACCCCCCCCCCCCCCACTACAACCCACAACCACTACAACCCTCCCCCCTACCCAACTGCCCTGATTGACTTGCCACACCTTACCCTGACTGCTACTATACAACTGACGGCTGAGTGAGAGGCGCCAGACCGGGTTGTTTGGAGTGAGGAGTGAGCTATTTACCGTCCCACCCGACGGCTTATTGGATCACGACCCAGCAATTGAATTACATTACAGATTTCCTGCGACCTCGGGAGTTACAGGAGGGTTATACATATCGACCAAGGGAGAAGGGAAAGAAAAAAAACATACGCTTGTTTTTCTCTCCCCTTGACCCGCGAGGATCATAAGCCGACAGACAAAATCAAATTCACGAGCTTGCTAGGGTTTAGAAACGAAGGAAAAGAATCCTTTGGAACTAAGGGTTGGTAGAAAGAGAGGTACACACACACACACGAAAGAGAGAAAAAAATAATTGCTTCTGTCGCACACCGCTTTTCTCCATTCCACGGGTAGGGAATTGATACTGTGCAGACATTGAAAACTGAGAGAACAGAGTGTGCTACAATTACAAGGAAGTCGTTCGAGAAATTCAATCAATCATGGTAACTCCCCCCCTCCCCCTTCATCTCCCTCTCACCCCCCTCCCCTTCCCTCTCTCCACGATCCCCCCCGTCCCTCATCCGTTTCCGCGGATGGCAGCCGTATAGTGTTGCGCCCTCGGTCCGGAGGATCTCGTTCTTTTATGCCCGTTGATGGCGGAGAGTTTACTCTGCATTGTCCCTGTGGGATTCCCCAATTGGCTTTTTCACCTGCACACACTCCTCCTCCTCCATCCTCCAAAGCATTGATCGCGTTTACCCATACATATCTGCTATTGTCATTACTGCTGCCACTGTCTGTCTGTCTGTCATCTACCATCATCATCTATCATCCGTCGTCTGTTGTCTGTCTCTGCGCGTGTGCCCATCTGTCTATCTATCTGTCTACATACATACTATCTGCCTGTCTCCGGCTGGCCTGCCGAAGGAAGCTTCCACAGCCCCTTCCATTCCCGGGCTTTTTTCCCTTTCCCACACACCCCCCACCCCACACCAACGGGAAGCCCCCCTCCCCCACCCGAAACTGAGCTTTCCCATACCCGCCAGCGCGCGTCAATCATCAATTCAGTGCCAAACTTTTCTTGTTGATCGTCGTCGTCGTTGTCAAAGCTCAGGCCAGGGTATATAGCTGTTGTGGTTCAATCCCGTTCCTCTCTCTGGCCCTCAGCTCTCTTCTGTTTCAAACCAGACCCTCGGGTTTCTGCAGGCTTATTTTGCTTCTTTACGCTTCTGCCCGCTGGTTGGTTTGATATCAAACCTGCATACTTTTTTTTTTTCTTCACTCTTTCTCCCTCTCCTCCTCTTTACCCTTGGGAAATTTTTTTCACTCCCCTTCTGCGGATTATTCTACTTTTACTCCTCACAAAAGAAATTAAGAGAAAATAATTTTTTTTTACAACCCGCCACCCCCCGGTCAATTCAGCCCCCCCCCCCCTTTCCCACCCCCCCTCTCGCTATATAAATCAATACGGACGTGTGTTTGTGAGCACAATTTTTTTTATTTTTATTATATATATATATATACATTTCTCTTCATCTTCTACTTTCAATTTGCCTTCTTCTTGCTTGTCTGCCTGCCCTTTTTGAATTCAATTCAATTCGAGACAGCTTGCAAGCTATAGACCTATTCCAAAGGTTCACACCAAACCACCCATTCTGCTTTCCCTCAATTCCCTTTTCCAGACAGACCAGCGCAGAGACAGAGACAGAGACAGAGAGACAGAGACAGACCCATTCAGACCACGCCCCACCCCCCCTCCCCTCCATCCCCTTGCATAATACCCCAAACTATATACATATACCCCAGCTAGCTCCCCCCCCCCCCCCACATACACAGCCTATATCAATCAATCCAATCCCCACTCACAAGTCTTTTTTCCCTCCCCCCCCCCCCCCTCAATGCCTCCACTCCCTCCTTCATCCACCTCGTCCTCATCCGACGACTTCCCATACCCACATCCCCACACGCCACCCGAGTACTCGTGCAGCTCCATCCACATCCCCATACAGCACAAGGGCATCATGGCAGACTACCATCACCACCATCACCACCACCACCACGAGGGGGGCGAGGAAGAAGTGCGCGGGAGGAATAGTTACTCACTGGAACGCTTTCTGCAGGAACCGGGCAGTCCGAGCACCACTGGCGGCGGCGGCGGAGGAGGCGGCGGCGCAGGTGCAGGCGTGAATGGGAAATACGGAGCTATGAGTCCGGGATCGAGCATACAGGGCTACACGGGCCTTGCGGGCAACGGGCGACGCCCCAGGTTGCTGCTGATGGGGCAGAGAAGGTGAGAGTTTTTTGGGACACCGCCAGGGAAGAGAGAGAGAGAGATGTAGGCGGGGGGAGGTGGTAGTAGTAGTGAGTGCGGAAAGGCTTATGTTTGGTGTGTGTGTGTGTGTGTGATGTAGGAGTGGGAAATCGTCGATTAGCTCGGTGGTGTTCCATAAGATGTCGCCGACGGAAACGCTCTTTCTCGAGTCCACGACTCGCATCCAGAAGGATCCTATCCAGTAAGGACACTCCGCAATTGATGGTTCTAGATGTTTTCGGGGGTTGAAGGGGCGGGGCGGGTGAGCCAATTGCTAATATAAAACCTCCGGTCCACATATATAGCTCCTTCATGGACTTCCAAGTCTGGGACTTCCCCGGCCAGCTCAACTTCCTCGACCCGACCTTCGACTTCGACCACATCTTCGGCGAGCTCGGCGCGCTCATCTGGGTGATCGACGCGCAGGACGAGTACCTGGACCCGCTCTCGCGGCTGCACGCCACTATCATCGCCATCCAGCGCTCCTACCCGGCCATCAACATCGAGGTGTTCATCCACAAAGTCGACGGGCTGTCGGACGAGTACAAGCTCGACACGCAGCGCGACATCATGCAGCGCACGCAGGACGAGCTCTCGGACAACGGGCTGGACAACGTGCAGGTGTCGTACCACCTGACGAGCATCTACGACCACTCCATCTTCGAGGCCTTCAGCAAGGTCATCCAGAAGCTCATCCCGCAGCTCGAGACGCTCGAGAACCTGCTCAACGTGCTGTGCAGCAACAGCGGCATCGAGAAGGCGTTCCTGTTTGATGTGATGAGTAAGATCTATATTGCGACCGACTCGAGCCCCGTGGATGTGCAGAGTTATGAGATTTGTAGTGACTATATCGATGTGATTGTCGATGTGAGTGAGATTTATGGGTAAGGCGCGCCGCTGCTCCGAGAGTCCCCGTGTGTGGTGGTGGTGGTGGTGGTATATGGTGGCGTTTATTTTGTGTGTGTGTGGCGGCTGATGTGATGTGATGTGTGGATGTAGCTATGACCGCAAACAACCCGCCGAAATCACCGATGCCGCCCACCCCGTTGTCCCTGGCGCCGAGGACGAGGAGGAGCAGACGGCGGAAGCGTCGAGCATCATCCGCCTGCAGAACGGCATGGTGCTGTATCTGAGGGAAATCAACAAGTCAGGGTCCTAGTTCCTTCCTTTTACTTTTTTTCGTTCTGTTTTTGTGCTCTGGGCAATTTTTCCGAGGGCTTGTTGTGTGTGTTGTGTGCTGACTATTTGGTGTTGTTGTGTGGTAATAGATATCTGGCACTCATCTGTCTGATGCGCAAAGAGGGCATTGAGAAGAAGGGGCTCGTGGACTTTAACGTGCAGGTGTTTCAGAATGCGCTGCAGCGGGTATTCGAGGTTGGACGTTAAAAAAAAAAAACTAATCTCTATGGACGGATATTATGAATGGAGGACCTCATGAATTGATGAAGAGAAGAGCAGAAAAGGAGATTGCGCTGCCTTGAAATTTTACTAACTAAAACCTACCTAATAACGAGTTTTAAGCGGAGTTTTTAAAGATACGGCGCTGTGGGATGTGGGGGGGTGGGGGTGGTTGGACCTGAGGCGGGGGGGGATTGATATGATAGATTTTTTTTTTTTTTTTTTACTCGCTGGGATTTTTATTCTTTTCGCCGGGTTTGGCTTATAGGGACCTTTTTTTTATTGCTATTTTTTTTTACCTTTTACTTTTTAGTGAGGTGCCCCCCCCTAAGGTCAAGTACTCGAGAGGGGGGTGTAATGAATTACAATGTAGTACTTCCACGTAACTACGTTGGTCAACAGAACGCGGGAATGCCTATGGATGGCTGTTGGTGGTAATGATATTGAGAAAGAATGATATCTGGCTTCTTCGGTCTACCATGTACCTAGTAGCTAGCTAGCTCTTTGACCGCTTAATGCTCTCACCCACCCACTCGCCCCTTATCGTGTGGCTTTTTTCTGATGGCGCCCTGCTTGGTGGCGATAAATAATAGATAGAGTATTAGTGGATGTGCAAGGGTGCAGTGGTGGTGGTGGTGGTGGTCCCAGGCACCCGTGTAGGGAGGAAGGATCGAAGAAACGAGAAGTCAGCGAGGTTGCAGTGTGGTGGTGCTAGTTGGTAGTTACTGGTTAGTGGATAAGCTTAGGGTTAGGGATCTCCATGGTGCTCTTACTTAGTGCGGGTGCTATTTTGGGTAACCCGCGGGGAAGGGGTTGGCGAGTGATGTGGTGTGGAGGAAGTGGGTGGCATGTGCTGTGGTTGTGGGGACTGAGAGTGCGAGCGAGAGCATTCTTGGGGTGCGGGTGGATCGATCGGTGGTGGTACAATACAATCCACTCTCACTCGATATGGGGGATTCCTTATAAGGCGGACTAATATCACTAAGCGTAGTACCTATGTGGGTATCACTACATGTATAATGGGAGTCGATTATGGATGGGGGTGGATAGTGTCAGCGGAGAATTGTCGCGGCCGGTTTACATATTGCTTGTTTGGCTATGACCCATATATAGAGCAGAGTGGCTAGGCAGCTGCGAGAAGAGTTGGCAGGAGAAACGGGTTACCGTGTAGGAATTAAGTAGCGAGAACTAGTCATACTGGATATAGAAGATGGCATAGTCTTGTGGTGGGTGGTGGTGGGTTGTAGGTGGTGGTTAGGTGAGGTTGGAGGTGAGTAGAGTATAGTACATGCAGCTATGTAACTGGGCCTAGGCAGGCCGTGCAAAGAGAGCCGAGTGATCTCATGTGACGTGCCCGCACACCCTCCAAGCCGCCAACTTACTAACAAATCGGTACGTACCAACATCACTCCATACCAGCGGGAATGCAAGCCACCAACCACCCCACGCTCGCCCCTATCCACACCTCATCCCGGGAAAGCCCATCCCTCCAGAATGAAATAGTAGTACCTTCCGGATCCATGAACTAAAGTAGAGTTGCTATAGGATGTACGCTCAGGACACCCCGCTTTAAGCAGGTAGTTGGTTTCAGGTAAAGATTGTAGAAGATACTGGGGTATGGGAGGATATCGGAGGGACATGATGACTCGAATACGGGAGGGTAGTTATAGTTACTCTCGAACCACTTACTCGTGTAGATGCAGTTAGGCAGAGCCGACAGGTCCTCTGATCATGCACAAAACCGATCGATTCTTATTTTAGGGGCGCAATAATATAGATGGGCTTCAAAGTGTAAAGTATGGAGACAGGAGCGGTGATGGTGAATGAAGGTTATTTGGGAAAGAAATCGACCAGTAGAGCAGTAAGTTGAAAGCAGGAAAAGAGATTGACTAGCCCGAGTGATAGTTTATGATGGGGGTTACTCATCCTGGACCTTCCGTGGATTGGCGGATGTGTGGTTGTAATTAAAGATAATGGAGTGTGTTTATAGATTATCCGGTGGATGAGCAGAGAGAAGTGTGATGGTGCAGCCGGAAGGTTTAGCTAATAACATTCATTAAGCGGTAGAGATGGATTCAGATTTACGTTCGAATGTATAAACCCTTGAACTATGCTCTCCCCACTCCCAATTAACCATGCAGGAAGATATCAACGATAATCTCTTAAGCTATGTTCCATAGTTCCAGCCGGCCGTATTTGACTTGTCCCAAGTGTATGGCCCATAGGTCTCTAGAAACTCCCAATATGCAATAGCAACAATTAACGACAGTCCACACTCGGGAGAAAATTACTACGCCGTTACAAAATTAGAGAGCACTAGTGCACCAATACATAATTCCCCGGTCGACACTTATAAACCTATAAAGCGAGATGACAATAGGCCTATGATTAGTGATCCAAAGGGGGGGATATGCAGATACTCCTTTTATTTTATAACAAGGGTCTTTGATTTCCTCCCTCTTTATCACTCAAGGTAGAAAAGCCACCACAAGCCGCAAACCGCTCGCGCGTACAGTACAGTGGGAGCGCGAGCCCCCGGGATGGACGAGCGAGTGATAGTGCGTGACTCAGTCGCAACCCCGCAACATGCTTGATCGTTATATATACCGTGAGCCGCTGGAGCTGCAATAAGCACAAGAAGATACAAGTACATTTATGTATATGTTTTTATAAGAAATGGATGTAGAATACTGCGGCAGACCGTGCCTTTGCGTACGTACACGCAATGCCCTACCCTACCAAGGGGGGCCTCGAGGAGATGGGCTCAAATTTAAGCCTACCGCAGAAAAAAAAGCCATGCCCTGGTAGTGTAGTGGTTAACACACCAGAAACTCAGCACGTAGGTTTAGAGCTGTGAGGAGATATTGGGTTCGAATCCCAATCGGGGCAATATCAATTCTTTTTTTTTTGTCACCGGCTTCTGTTTTTTCCTGGGGTGACGTGCTGTTATTCTTGGCTTTAGGCCGATATCAACAGCTAGCGGAAATTACCAACATAGAACTGCAGACTTATCCTTTAGCTGAGCCCGTTAGGATAGATAGATAACAGGCCTGGAGCAAATCACCTCTCGAAAAATGGGCATAGTCTAACGCAAGATTTGATATACCAAGTCTTGGAGAGGCCTAGGGGTGTGAGTATTTCTCCGTCTAGTCGTGAATATTAGGTATATCGGTAATTCTATATGGGTTTATAGATAAAGAAACTAAATAAGGCTATCTTCTCACTTCCAGCTGGTGACTTGAGATGCATGGGGTGTCTAGATGGTATATGAAGATACTACATATGTATGTACGTACCCCGGGCCCGGGAAGGCCTAATCATGACAGATGGCTTTTTAGTGGCCAGTTGTTTGGTGGTTACAACTAGTAAATGTAGCTACATGTAGTATAGACTACAACCCACGTTCAAAAACGGGCGTCACCTAGTACAATCGCCCAATAGATATGGTGAATTGATATATCGTGGGTTACAATCATTCACTAACTATTTAGAAGGGTTAGTTACATAAAAGTTACGGGACAGAAAGAGAGAGTTTGTTAGTTATCGAATCTATAAAAAGTTTCTGCGAGTAACCCTAACCTCGATGTTTAAACCCTGCCCAACCTTTGGGGCTTGAGACACCTGATTTAGTTGTTTTTGATATACCAAGCTTAACCCAAATGTTCTTACTAGACGAAATCTCTATAGCCATTCCTGCGTCAATGTTTAACCTATGTAGTTTAATGACGGATGTACTACAATTACTAGATTATCAAAAAAATAGGATAAGCCTCAGTATATTGGCCCCTTTCAGCTGGTATATACTCTAGTGGTTGGTCTTTTCCTCTTCACTCAGGTACTTGGCAATTGGCCTGTAAGTAATAGAGCACCCAAGATATATCGGGCAGATCACAGACTATCACTCGTCGGTCGGCGTGGTTTAGCCATTTTTTCTTGTAAGGAAGAGTACTTTCCCATATGTGTAGCCCCCGAATTAATCATTTATAGCCATGTGGTAAATTCTTTTAGGCTACGCAAGTATATATTTTCATGCGGATGATATATATACCGGCTCTCAACCTCTATCTCAAATCGAATTAATTGGTGTACGGTAAGGGCCGGGCCGCGGGACGGAAGCAGGGGCGAACTATATCAATATTTGCGCCTATAAATTCACACATGGTACTTACGAGTGCCTGAGACCTTTTATATACATGTAAGCTACGACAGTCGAACCCACTGCATTGGTCAAATACCCACCACCGTACTAAAAGGAACTACATCAAATAATAAGGTTAAGATATCGAGAGCCAATCACAGGATCAAAGATGAGGCACTAATAGTAGATAGCAAAACCGTTTGATTGTCATGCTGCTATCTTATCCCATCATACAAAAGTTACGTATCCCATGATTGTACCTTATTTTCGCCCCTTTACCCGATCAAGTGACTTCCTTATTACTTCCTGTACTTCCTCTCTCGTCCCATAAAGTGATATATAAATGCCTTCGACAGCCTATTACCCAAGTCTAGCAACTAGTAGAAATAAAAAAAAAGAGCAATCAAGAAAAAAAACATTAAGATCGTATGAATAAAAATTTCGACAGGAGAAAGTATCAATATGGGAGGGGTTCAAGGGAAATAAAAACAGAAGAAAAATATATGATGGATTTGCAGTTATGTGAGACGTACGACATGCTGAAAGGGTTAGCTATGGCAGGGGGATCGGAAAATTTAAGTATAGAAATATGCATGGACATGCGTATAAAATGCGATACAAGAATGACCCTAGGAAGTTTTTATCTGTGACTACTAGAGTAATGTATGTAGTGGATGTTGGTTGATGATTTATGAGTTGCAATTGGCGACGTGGCAGATCTGGTTTTGAACCGCCGAATTATTAGGTCCCCTTCTTAATCTATGAGACGCTTATGTTAACAAGCAGCTCTCTGAGATAATTCTCTCCTTTCGGTACTACATGTAGGTAAGGGATTAATCAAGGGTATACGAAGCTTAATCTCATAGATACAAAGGATAACCGGTGCACACAAAATACCCAGAAACAGCGGGAATGGTAGGGATTTACTTTTCGACTTCTTTTCCACTCTCTGAGCTTCTTGCTGGCTATTTCGAGGCTCCGCCTCATGCATTCCTCAGTGGCTGTAGAAAGATTAGCAGTTTTTTCCAGGATGTAACCTCGTTACTATTGTTGCCTACGTTCCCAATCCCCACCTTCAGGAGTCTTCGGGTCTAAAAGACCATCTATTTCTTTTTCTTCTTTGATATCCTTATCGACATCTTTATCGGCCAATTTCGACATCTGAACAAATGAATAAATATTAGCAGAAGGAACATGCGTATTTACCACAGGGTCGCGCCCCAAATGAACTCAGGGTCTCAATGTCGAATCGGAAAAGAAACTTACCTCTTCCACGGGTTTGTTTTCTTTCAAAAGATTCTGGTCTGTTCCAGCACGCCCAGCAATATTTTCATTGTCACTTCTCTAAACATGGAGATGAAGTAATATTAGCAAAGAGATGTTTCAAATATCATCAAGAGAAACGTATCAGAGAGTCCAAAAAACGTACCTCTAGATCGTCTGAGCTGACTGAGTCATCATCATCATAAAAGGTGCTAAGACAATTTTGTTTATGAGCTTGACCTTCACGATATCGATCATTAAAGGTGTTCTGTGTTTGGAGTGGGGTGTTAGCAGCTGGGACATGATCTTATCAAAATAATAAACTGATGAGAAAACAGATTAGAGAGGATTGTATCTGGATAGTAACCTACCTTTTGAAGGCTTTCCGGGCTAGTCGTCAGAGAATCTTCGTCGGTATCAGGGTAGTCACACATCAGTGGACCCTCACCATCAGTACCCTGATGGTGAGGGTCAGCAGTCTTGCAATCTGTGAGAGATTTTAGGGGATCCTCCCCCCAGATATTCGTATTAGGATCCTCATCAGGCGGATTAATATTGGAAACGTTTTTTTCAGGGTTATTAGATGAAGCATAGTCAAACATCTTTGTGAAATTAAATTGGGTATTATGTCCGAGAATGTAAGTGAAGTTTAAGTTACCAGACGTGAGAGTAGATGGGAGAAGGAAGAGATGGATGATATTCAGGATGGATGGAGAGAGGAAGGAGGAGAAAGAGAGGAGAAAGAGAGGAGAGAGGAAAGAGGAGAAGTAGAGGGGAAGCAGAGGGGAAGCAGAGCAAATAGCAAAGCGAGAACACAAGCAGAGAGAGGGGGAGCAGGGCGAGCGAGCGGAACAAAAGTATGAAATCTGGCATTGAAAATTGCAAAAGCAGAAAGCATATATCTGCACGGTGCCTGCTCGGAAGCTTGCAAGACCAAGCAACCCGGCCTAGTTATTCGAGCCGTTTATTCATCGTAACATGACTAAACTTTATAAGACAATCCCCGTGCTCGGGAAGCTCGCCGAATTATGAATTGGAAATCCTTTCTCATATATGCGTATTACTTGTGAATGATTCGACTCAATGCACTGAATTGTTTAAGGCATTGGCCATAGCTGATGAGCCAAGTTTATATATATCGCAGCAGCGCCGTGAACGAGGTCATTGAGGCCAGGGCTCTTGAGGGTGAGCACCCAGCACTATAAGCAGTTGATTCATTCCTTATACTAGTAGCACTACGTAGTTGATATCCAATTTTCTAAATACTACGTGCGCATAGGCTTGGAAGAGCTTGTTGAGTATCGAGAGCATACATGTAGGTTTCTAAGATCACCGCTTATATGATAACGTATTTAGAAAGTCAAATTCTAGTAACTATAATTTGCAAAAAATTCAGTATTGTTCAACTTAGATTTACGACAACTAATGTGCAGTAATTGGTAGTGAAGTTGGTTCTTACTCTTTCGGTGATATGCCAAGAGCTGTCAATGATATTTGGTACATGTTGACGTTGGCCTCGCATCCCTTTTTAAACTTCACAGGTATTTGCCAAGGATTTGGGAAGTTATATAATCCATTTTAGGCTGCATAATATTCGCACAAGATACACGTAAGAAAGCATTGACCTAAGATATGAAAATACCATTGAGAAATGAATTATTTACAATTCTGTAGCCATATTAGAACTGAGGAATAAAACCCTTGTTTGTGGACAGATCCTAGATCCTAAGATCGGCATTTGGCCCCAGAAGCTGATATCAGGTTTGTACTAATAGAGCCGAGATAGTACATCTTGTGATCAAAAGTCCAGCAAAAGTTGCGGTGTCAATTTCTCTAGATCTTCAACCTGGCCCCCACAAATATATTAGCCCACCCGTCCAATTCTAATCACAGCCCGCTCCACAAGCCGAGATAATTCCCGGGGAGGCACAGAAAGGATGCTCACCTCCAAAAAAGAACCCATATTCTTAACCCCGCCAGGGTCCTGCCCGCTCTCTTTCCTAATGGCAGCAGCCCTCCATATTGCCTCCCGAATGAATGTTTTCGTGTACTCCCCGGTCGCGTTCAACGCTGGCTGAGAGATTCTCGTCTTCTTCTTCTCCTCGAAGAACTCTTGGAGTATACGCTGCAACAGCTGTGGGGGAACCGTCACGGTACTCTCATCCTGCTCCTGCTCCTGCTCCTGCTCCTGCTCCTGCTCCTCGCGCGAAGCTGGGGGCGGTAGTAATGGGGGGTTCTTGGCAGCAGCAGCAGCAGCTTTTCGGGGAGGCATCGTAGAGATCGTGAATGTTTCTGTTTAATTACTGCGGTGACGCGTTTTAGGATGTTGATTGAACGGCAGGTGGAGGCTCTAACAATGTGTCTCTCACCTTTGTAGAATTCTGCGTCAATTACGGGGGGCGTGTATGTCGTACCTTAGAGACTTTGTAATTGACGATCCAACTGTCTCCAGGTCGACGCGTCGTCCGATGTGATGTCGCTTAACACATGCCAGGTCTAGGTTAGGTCTAGGTTAAGTCTCGCATAGCATAATGACAGATCGACGGTACAACAAGCCTCAAGGAGCAGATATCGATATTGGCTCCCCCCGGAACTGACTTAAAGTAGTAAAATCTAGTTTCTATTTCGAGTATCATCGTAATATCATATAATAGTTACATCCTATTATCCTCTACCTCCCTTACCTCCTCCCCCACCTTCAATCTTCCTTTCACCAATGCACAATCTTCATTCAGCCTTCCTACTCACCACTCACTTACATGCTTACCTACGGTCAGGGAAGCCCGAGAGGAACAGGAATAGAATGCCCGAGAGAAACAGGAACAGAATGCAGAGTGGTGTCACAATATACGATTGCCTACTATATCGACATCTCCATAATCTTTATATATTGCGGTATGTCCCGCCCCTGCGCCTCTACCCGTCCGATATTAAGTTTGTTCCCGCACTTAGCTACATGTATTCTATCCGAATTTCTGCATATACAGCAAAGCTGCTTGACCAAGAGAAGACAGGCTGTATCACGGTACACCAACCGATGCACCAACCGGTAAAGAAACCCTTCCATTAAAAAGAGAGAAGAAAAAGTATGCAGTACATTAATTCTCAGGTCTGCCTCTATATTTTCCCGTGATCTAAAGTATTGAAGCTTAAAAATATATGAATGCAATATATATGCACAAAACCGACCCGCGACAGTGTTGATTTCCCGTAAATCTTGTATGTCGATCGAATAATTGAATGTACAGTAGAAAATAGACAAAAAAACCCAAAATCAAAAACAAAAAGAATTTGGGGCGGCTAGCCGTGGAGAAAGAAAAGAAGGTCATAAAAAAAAACTGGCCCTCCGAAACATATGGTAAGGTACACGTCTAGTTGATCACCGCGGTAAGTGACCGCTCACCTTCCCCTTTACCCCACCTGTGAGACACAAAGGAAAAATACTTCTTCGTAGCAGCGACAAAAAATAACAGAAACAACCGGTACCCAGAACCCCGAACAGACCAATGATACATATAAAAAAAAATAAGGATACCCCCAGACCAGCCCAAAAAAGTATTACGAAAAACGAATGAAGAAAGGGAAAGGTACCCAAACAGGAACAAACAACTCCGGCCAAAAATGCAAAGAATCCCTGTGCAACCAACTAAAACCCTGTACCCCGCACCGCACCGCACCCCCCTACTAGACTGCTCTGCTCTTACTGAATAGATTGAACATACTACGCTTCCTCATTCTTCCCCCGGCAGTTGTTGGGCGTGGTTCGTTTGAATCGCGCGTCGAGGGCAAGTCGCTAAGTGCATCGTCGTCTCGCTGCATCGGGTCCGGAAGTGATCTTTCATAACTTGTTCGCTCCTTTTTTGATCTGTGCCGTGACATGGATCTCTTGACACTTTTGTCGCGAATTATGCCTGCCTTCTCGGCAGCTCCAGTCCTGGTCAACTCCTCCCTCTCCATCAGATCGAGCATCGTGGTTCCGCCAGTGGCGTAGTTTGCGAAATCAGGGTCAACGAATCTAATGTATCCCCTAGTCCCGACAACTCCAAGGTTGTTGTTGATCCACTCCGAAATCAGTGCCGCATTACGTTTGTTGCAGGTGGGTGAGATCATGCTCAGAGAAGTTATGGTGAGCATGTAGGAACCATCAAATGTGCCTCCCATTACCATGCATGCCGAGTGGTCGATCGACACGCAGACAGTCTCCTCTGTCCTCCCATAACGTTTTGCAATCATTTCAGATAGGGATTTAGCAAATTCAAATTCGTTTTCAAGCTATAAATGCACATTTATGTCAGCCTGAGATTTCGGGAACGGGTGTAACGATATACTGAGAAGATAATGTGAGGCTCTAGTAAAAGCAAACACAAAGAACAACGTGCGATAGAACCAAAAAGGAAAGAAGCTTGAGAGATTCTTACAATAACGTTGGTCTTGAGCTCAACCCAGACTCCAGCACTTGTAGGTACTACCGGTCCTGTTTCCCGAACAGCAAAAACCTCTCCATAGTAGCCAGCACCTTTCATAGATCTTTTCCTGCCGAAATCAGATTTGGATGACTTTTTGAACAGCCCCGGGGCAGCTGGTGTGTCTCTGCCAATGTCACGCATGTTTTGAGGTTTCTGTGACTCTAGTTTGTCTCGATCGTCTCCTGTCCCAAAGGACATGTCTGTTGGTGCAGGTGAGGGAGGTTCTCTGCGCTCGTAGTCGGTGTTTTTTGCTGAGGGCATGATACTTGATGGCTGTACTGGTGAGAGGGTTGCCATGGCTTTATGCAAACTTGAGAAAGAATTACCCGCAGTGTTAAAGGGTTTATATTGCCAGTGAAATAGTTTTTCAGTGAGTACACTGAGGAGTAGGAGGAACCGGATGGAAGGGCGGGGTTGTTGTATGTAGTTGAGTAGTTGAGTAGACACGCACTAGCGTTCTGAAGCTTATCACTCGATCAAAGCTAACGGTAGCGGCGAAATGCAGACGTCGCAAAGCAGCAGCAACACCCGGGAAGAAGCAGCCAAAGAGTGGATGTGTCTTGTCTTATAATGCTCGAGACCTCGTTCTTCTTATCTCAAACCAGAAAGGATTTACTTTAAGTCCTGCTGTGCTCCGGAGCACTTGTTGTAGATGATGTCGGTATGTGGGGGAACCAAGAAAGTGAAGAAAGAAAAGGGCTTGGGAACAGATCTGAGTGCAGAGAATGGATACTGGGCAACTCTAAGTACTTGTACCCCAACCTCACCTTCCTCTCTCCTCTTCCTATTACATATATGTACAGCTTCGGAATCCCACCCATACCAGTTCTCGCTAGAGATGTAACTGACCAGGCATAACCAGGCGTATGTAGCCCTCACGTTTACTGCCCTGTTCGTTTCCACTCTCCTGGTAGCAATCATAATAGCAGACAGGGATTGCAGGGATCAATCCGTACATTGCCGGTGTTGTATCTAGTACCTACCATGAAAGCATGGCTGCGGCCCTTGCTGCTGCTGTAACCCAGTAAATGGTCCTTGATTGGTAGCTCAACCAGCTCAAGCCCTTGGTACTCAATAATGAAACTCCGGAAGACATCGAACGACAGCCATCAGATCAAGGTTGAACAGGACTACAAAAATAAACGTCACAGCTGATCCACCACTGCTCATTGGTCAAAAAAAACATAATTTATTTACAGCGAGAAGTAAAATTATTGTAGAAACAGGGGTCTAAAAACAGGGTTTCTGTGGCTGGGCAAGCCAATAGGACTCCTCCCATATTTCTACAATAATCTTACCGCAAGCTGTATTTCTCTATTTCAGCAATGTTAAGGAACTCTAGAGTGCTCTATTAAGCGTCGCATAACATGGAATTTCGCATATGCCTTGGGGGCGAAATTTAAAGCAGCACACCATCAACCATTGAGAAGCGCTTGACTATGGCGAAACTGCATCCTCAATGGAGCACTGGTCTATACAAAAAGTGAACGGCGTTTCACCCAGGATTAGAGAGTGGCTTTGTTCGGTTGCTACCACCCTGTCTAGCTGAGTGATTCTAGTAACCTCTAAGGTCAGCAATATCTCTCCAGACGGTACTGACGGGAATTCCAGCTTAGCTGAAATCCCATTCCACCATTTCTGGTGGTTAAACAAATATGGACATACAATTTCTACCCTACATACATATGTCCATCCATTCAGACGATTTGCGTGATTAATTCCGAACAAAATCTGTATATGCAAATTTTATGTTCAAGATACCCGAATCGGCAAAATAAGGTACTCTAAAGCAACCCCGAAATTTCGCTGGGGGGCTACGGCCCGTCGGGACCCTGGTAGCAAAATCAAATTCGACATCAAAGCCCGCGAAAGCAGGACCTGATGATGTTACAGAATTGGAAGGAACCAAGCAATTGATACGATCACTACATGTAGTTAAGGCTTAGCGACTAATATTTGGATCCTTCGGACTCCACACCGCTTTTGTAGTCCAGTCGTTTCTGGGGTCTAGCTTCATTTGACATGTTTGTTACAGCGCTTAGACGATCGTTAGGAGTTACCACACCAGCCCTGACATGTTGGGCGTTGAAACTTGAAGGAAAGATACTTATGCTTATGATACCGGCCATTGCCAGACAAGGCAAAGGGGATTTTGACATACGCGAACCCCACATCTGGCAGCTGGGTATACTCTAACTATTTTTGCCGGGTACGATGTAAGTCTTATCTTACTCCTTTTCTTGAACTCCTTTTAATTCAAGTCTTGAATCTCGATGTAACTAACACTGTAGGTATGTATGTACTCCTTTTCACTCGCGGAGTGATTGCCTGTTTACCCGATAATACCTCTAACGCGCAGTCGTAAGGAACCTCGTTGTAAGGAATACCTTGCTCTATAGAGAGTTTTTCGGCTACAATTTTTATTTTGTCCCCCACGATAATTTACTATAAGGAACAAAGATGGGCGGCCGAGATATGCACATTCCTTGCGACAGCGCCGGATATCAACATTCAAAGTCGGTCCGGTATCTTCTGCATAACATTGTACTTTCATCAAGCTTGCCGCAAGGGCTCAAGGGCGAATACTCCTTTGATATTGTTAAATAGGGTTACTAATGTTTCATCACTAGCCACTTAGTTATTATTAGTGCAGGATAGGTAAGTAGAGCACCTACTCTTAGGCAATACCTAGGCAGGCAATACCTAGGCAGGCAATACCTAGGCAGGCATCCGTCCTTTCATAATGTCGCGAGTTCCTCTGTGCCGCAACTAAACACGGGGCGTTCCTGATCTGCCTCACAGAGCTTAACTAAATCTTAAAAAAAATCTTATTTACATATCTGACAATATTTATGCGTTCGTTTACACTGTGGCGTCATTGATGCGGCGTGGATTGGAGGCTTAGCCGCTTCAACACTTCCAATTTCGATCACATGCAGTCGAACTCTCGGTGACTACGTCTCGCAAGAGGGGTTGCGGTTGTTTGCGGTTCACTGTGCGGCGCGGGGTAATGTAGGTGGGAAAAAGTAATATGCCAATATGCATGGGTTGTGGAGCAAAAAGCATGACCCACGATGAATATTTCTCGGCATATCTGATCAAGAGGCTCCGATCATAATGGCGCCGCCATGTCTTAAACCAAGTTCAGCCCACGTCAATCTCAGCTTGGTATATGCATCATGGTAATCGTGACCAGGATAGGGCTTACATCCACATGTGGCTGGGCATTTCAAACCTTTGATATAAATCCCATCAATAACAATAATTATAATATATATCTACTCGGTACATACTCTTCCGGCAAATACTCGTGCCTAAAATTCGTTTGTAGGGATATAGGTGCTAATTGCTAATACTTCTAGAAACTAACCAGTATTGATGTAGAATCGGCGTTTGGATGGCCTCATCGCAATATTTCTTCGCCGGCATTTTCAGTGCCTGGTACTGGGTAATTCAGAGTATCTAAGCCAGAGAAAACATACCGGTTCGTATGACAAGATCTACACCAGCAATAACACAAGACTGTGTCGAGTAATAAATTTAAGGGATAGATATCGATCGAGTGAAAGAAAATGCATCTTCAAAATCTCATGTTTGATCATGGGCTGTGTAATACGTCGGAAAGAAATAAGCATCGTCCGAGAAGGTTTTTCTAAAAGCACAGAAAAAAAGAAACAAAAATAGACCACTAGCATGGCGAAACGATTGAGTTTTAACCACACCACTACTAGTGATGGCTTCGAACACATCAGAAGTTTCGCCAAATGCTTACCAATAGTATTGGACGAAAGACGCGAGCGCGCATATACGGACTGTCCTACAACCTAGCCCTACAGGTCCGGACCAACAATAAAATTTTACAGCCCCATAGTTCCAGATTAATGTATTAATGTCCAGAGATAGAAATGTACACCCTAGGTACGTACCACGTCGCGTACGGATATTTACATGAGCACATTAAGATTCCGATAACTACATGTAACTGATAAGCTGGCACGATATACAGCGAATATACTTTGCGTATGTCAAGCTCCAGAGTACATCAATTAATACACATATCTTCTAGGCTTCTATCATCACGACATCAGCAGACCCCAGAACAAAAACAAAAATGATTGAACACTTTAGAGAAAGGAAACTTGGCTTAACGATCGAATGTCAAGGCTACTCACATATCAGTCCCCGGTTTTCAAATATTTCAGCTCCCGAAACTGTTTCAAGGATTGTACATAACCACTGTTTCCGTGCTTTGGAGAAAACTTACTCCAAAGCCTACTATGCCAACACCCGCCCGCCTGTAACAAGCTGGCAGGGCATGTACCGCCAAAACTCGAAAAATTAGCTATCTCCGCCCAGGGACTACCGCTTGAATAATTGGTTGGATGGCATCGATCTACATCAGAAGTATCCATGCAAGTAATCCTGATCTAGCCAATTTTTTCGAGTTATGGCGGTATATGAAATACAAATCTCCAGTAATACCCTCCGTAGAGCGGGTACGTATCAGCTGCGACATTTCCCGGATCTCGCTACCCACAGATCACGATCTCGATCTAAATTGCAAAGTTTTGATTGGCAAGGGTTCTTTTTTCGCACCTCTTTTGGTTCGGTTTTTTGCACTTCAAACAAGTAGGAATATGGATTTTGTTGGGAACCTCTGCATTGGTTTTGAGTTTGCACGTGGTAGGCGTACCGTGGACATGTGTTGTGTGTTCCATTCATGAGAGGTGCACTGCCATGAGTTGGGTGATAAAAAAAAAAGTACATACACTCAGTGTTTTTGTGGAGCCTACTCAAATTCGATGAATCAGTTTACTAATAGGGTGCTCTAGTGTCCGTAATTCGGCCGTAAGTGATCATATTCCCACTTCAGAAACCAAAGTACCTACGCCGTATTCTTTTACGTGGTCAAATATGGACATGATCGGGCTACAGCCGAATCATGAGGGTCAAAGTATTCAAATGGGGTCTCAAGGGCTCGGGCATCATTTAACCTCTTGTGGATCCGTTAAATAATTAATGCCGGTTCCAAAACCCATTTCATGCTGTTGGTTTTGCGGCAAGGCCAGAATTTCCTGGCTCAGACATGCAATAAAAAGACCACTTGTTGTTAGAGTAGGACAATTAAGCTTTGAGTAAGGCGTGGGACTAATAGTTGCCATTGTTATTTCAAATGCCCCCGTGGGTGGGATGACTGCGTTAAGTCTCAGGTTGCTTAGGTAACGAGTGATGTATTATGATCCAATATGCCATCCTTGATATCCATAGGGTCACCTATGCATGTATATTCATTTTTATGCAGAGATCTTTAGCCGTAGGCGTTATCCTGGCCAATCGCGGGGCTGTACTACACAGGGTGTAACCTGCGGTGCACGATTTCGTTATCTATTGGCTGAAGTGAACCTAGGTACTGGTACATAACCCATCGCTCAAGAGCTGGAGTACCTGTTTTACATAATGGCTGAGGCTGATGTGCTTCTCCTACCTCGTCAAAAGTTACCACGCTGGGGTGATTCGAACTCCAAAGCTAGGGCGAATTCGGTGTCGGTAGCGAGTTCCGAGAAAGGCGTGCAGAAAATTCTAACTTGCATATATGAATTTCAAGTTTTCAGCACTCCGAGAAACGGCTTCTATGCAGATATATCCAGTATTGGTGGCTACAATATATATTCATGAAGTGTGTGGTACATACTCTATTACGCGGAACTCCCCGGAGGCATTGCATATTCCTTCTTTTTTGGCCGCCTATAAACTGGAAATCTAGGGTCAGTATGCAACTTTATTTGAACTGGAGGAGGGGCATGTCCATGTCACCTGTAGAGTGGATTCTTTGCCGGTTATCATGGTGATGTATTCCGTATAATTGACCGAGACTGTTACCCATGACCCAAGCCCAGGAGAGGGGCTGTCTGCCTTGAAATTTCTCGAGCTGATTGGTCCGAATTCCGATCAACTTATCAGCAGTCTAAGGTCTTTAGACCTCGACAAAGAATATTAATCAAAAAACATAGAAGACAGGCTGAGAGAGAGCTTGAAGATACCCCGCTTTTCTTCCATGCGCTACGCCCAGCCTCAAATTCATTCAGAAATGACGGTGTGCGGGGATCAAAATCATACATAGGACTACCTACTGACTTGCTTCTTGGTGGCTCTGGCACATATCGGACAGGGAGTTAGCACGCACAAACTGGCGTTAAGAGGTTGAAATAAGCAATGCCCCGGCAATAGCTGGTTGGCTATTGACGGAGAGACTTTTTCCAATTCCGAGTGGCAGTCTTCTGAGCTTTAAGCCACGCCTTGTTTAAGTGTTTTGTTACGCCGGTCAATGATGAGAGACGCCCATCCTCTCTAGCCCTGGTAAGGCGTTTGTTTTAGACAGCCACAAAGTGGTCCATATCCCCTCCTTCTGAGAAAGACCAGGCAGATGAAACCACCTGATACCGCGGATTTGAGGTCGCACATGTGATAGGATAAGGGGCTTCCTTACCTCTAAGTACCTACATGTATGTATGTACTCGTTTACCACGAAAAGAACCAGAAAATGCAAGTGACGGAAACAGGGATACTTTGTATGAGAGATCACCGCCACTCCATACAAATAATCCTTGCCCTGAGCAACTGGTTCTTTTCGTGGTAAACAAGTACTTGTACTCACCCCATGGCGTGTGGAGCCAAGGAGGCGCTGTGAGTGACCGCTAACCCTACCCTACATGTAGGAACGATTCATGTTCCAGTAGGCTTCAGCAGTACATAGATGTCGATGATATAAGCCCAGCCTTACCTACTCGGCATTTGACCAATTGGAATACCAAAATCCCATTCTTCACCGGGTCAGGTGGGGGTTCTTGGCGAAGACGCGCGAGTATAGTATCCAATCGTTGATATACGAGTATCCGTCCATCCGACACTTGGCGCAGTGTCTTAGATTCCGTTGTGCGGCTGGTGTCTCATATACAATCACTGGTTCTCACTCGCTCGATCCCAGGCTGGTTTTCCCACAGGGATTTCAGGCATTCTGCTTGTTGCCACGTTTTCCGACAATCCCGAGAGGATTCTCTTGAAGATCTAGGTACTTTTCTGGTGGGGTTCGCTGTTTGAAAAACGAGTTTGAAATCATTAGTGCATTATATAACCCCCAGGATCGCACTCTTCGCTGTCGCATCATATCATGAAGGTATGCCCTCGGTGTGCACAAGTGCTACCACCAACTTAATAGGGCGCATTGTGTACATACAGATCCGCGGGGACCACTTGGCAACTCCCGCTGAACCTCTTCGCCGGGTACTCTATACGTCACGTACATTATACCTGCCGAATCGGGCCGCCGGAGAGTGCCACGAGCACATGTAGCATGCGAGCGAATGAAGAAGCTTGTGGAGATACAAAGGAGGTTTTTCTGCAACTCGCCTGGATTTCTTTATACTGGGCGGGCTCCTTCAGCTGCCATTTTGAAGTTTTTCGGCCATACAGATGCTTAATACGAGGAATATTTTCTTTATTCGGTTGAGTATGTACTCTACGGCGGAGTGGGTTTGAAGCTACGCCTAAACAAAAGCAACTGTCGCATTTGATAGAAAGTTCCTCGCACGGCAGGACCAATTCAGCAGTACCCGGCGGAGAAACCACATCCATATCACTGGGCTTCTCAAATGTTTCAATCACGCAAAATCACCCGCACCAGAAGGTAACTACCTCTTTTGGTATAGTACCAAAAACCCGGTGAATAAGTCTGATCTTCTTTTCAAAGAAATTTCCCAGAAGCTGACTGTAATTCAATGTTGTATAGCTGTTCTCTCCATCGGAGTCGGTTGAAATCATCAGATCTCACTCGTACACAATACCCGTGCGCATTGGTATACTCCGAACCCCGGGCTACTGTCCGCATGTTTATCACAGGGGCAGAACCAGGGAAATTTTAGCCCCTTCACAAATAATACGCCGCGTAATTTCACCAGATCCAGGCCCTAGCGGAGAAACCATTTACCGATTCATTAGTAATCTACCCCCCTCCAAAACATACGTCACTGTCAAGGAGCTTCTCAAACAAATACCCCCCGTCGGGCCCCCGATATATCAACCCTCCTCAAACCGGTGAATACATACAGAACTTTATCAGGCCACTCCGACGTGACTTCGCCCCTTCTCAAAATATACTTTCCAACATGTCACTTCAATCCCGCAATATCCACGCAACGCGTACCCTCCCCCTTGCATTGATTCTCCGGCCCATACCCCCGGTGCTTGACGACAGTAAAGTCGACAATATGGTCTGTACCCTCCAGAAAAACCCTCCTGCAGGTACGGAATTCGAACCCGGCACATTGCCGCCCGTGGATATCCTGCACTACCAGTCTCCCGCTGGCAAGGACTTCTATTTCGCGTTTGGCGGGTGTCATAGACTGCAGGCGTATGGACGCGCGCAGGTGGAGGACGTCAATTGCAAGGTGTTGAAGGTTACAAAGAGCATGCTGAAAGTGTATCTGGGCGGGAGTGTTGACGCCATTGTCGGCGAATGATTTATGCAGGACCTATATACTCATGATGGGCAAAGGACAGGGGACTTGGCGGGTTTCGATGAGGGTTCCGGGGGAGGGTGATTTCTTGTGATCGGGCTCGGGGAGGGTTTTGGTTTCGGCGCGGCGAGATGATTGGGTGATTACTTCAGCGGGTGATCTACTATAATTCCGGTAGATCGCCAATCAAGGCCGGGGCTCTTTAAAGAAACCGGGGACTATGATTGGGACCAATGCCTGAGTGCATCTGGGTAAATTTAATAAACGATATTCAGCCTGGAGAGAAAGTATTAGTTGATTACTAACTCCACCGCGTCAAATTCTATGAGACTAAAGTAAGATTGAACTGTTTGTAACAAAACTCATACGGTTAAATAAACTTAGTTGTTTAATGCTAGTACGATTCAGTGGTGTAGTGGTATCACGGGCGCTTGCCATCTTTCGATGATTTGCGCCCGACCCGGGTTCGATTCCCGGCTGATTCATCCTTTTGTCTTCGTGTAATATATTGTTCCGGAATGTTGTGATTTGGATCATTTTGAAGCTTGTCTCTTTGTGTACATGTAGTTACGAACAATACCACCTATAGCTAAGAATGGCCTGGTGATAAAAGTGCTGGAGGCCACCTTGTTAAACTTGAACCCCTTCATCTCATCCGCTCTTCACTCTACAACATTCTCTGCCTACAGCATTCACTGGCATCTACCCACGATGCGATCCAAGTGTTCCATCCTATAAACTATCTTCTTCATAGGGTCTGGCTATTGGAATGCCCAGATTGCAATTGAGCAATTGCGGATACATGCAGTCATAAGCCTGCACACTCAAAACTTTGCAGGGAACTTTACAAGTACGGCCACCTCCAATGGCTGCAGACATGAAGGGCAATTTGTAAATACTAAGATTTACTAAGTTAGGTCCATGGAGCGAGCCTCATCATCAGCGAGCCTGAGCCAGGTTGAGCCCTTTCTAGATCTCCAAGCTGGCTCGAGCTATAGTTATGTAACTTCTTGCCGAGTTCAAGGAGCTACGAGGAGGTGGATTTTTTTTTGTTTAATTCACTAATCGCACAACGAGGAGGAGAGATCTGGGTTATTCAAAAAAAAAAAAAAAAAACCACTCTTTTGGAACGCCTATTTCAACTACTTCTCTTCGTCGGTCTACTGGCTGCTTTCCCGATGGCTTGTCATGAGGAGATCTTGTTATTTTGATCATTGACTACTAGGTCGAGCTGTTTTGCGGGCCTTCAATAGCAAAGATCAGGCCCTATGAGCTTCAGTCCTCAAAAAGATGGATCTGCTTGAGTTTATGGGCCATACTGCTTGTAAACGGAGCGGGACTGGCGGAAGGCTGGATATGCCACGGCGATATAGCTTTCATCAATCATTTATACCAAGGGTCGATCAGGGAAATATCGAATCGATTTAGGAAATACAGCTACACTAGAATCTCAATAGTAGCATCTAGCATTACTATCAGGAATTTATACTTGTATCAGAAAGCAACTTGGCCGCGCCAATATGCTTGGGATTGGCCAAAGATAGGGCACATGCTATCGAATATGCTACTATCGGGGCTGGGCTGTGTTTCGGTTTCTGATCGAGATTGATAACGCAGCACAAACGATTGCTGATTGCAATTGGGATGGACTCTGTCATCCATAAAGAATATCGGTTTTGAAATAGTATCATCAACTTGCATATATTCACTAGAGTAACGATCACTTAATGAGAGTCACGGGTGAGGATATTCCAGTTTTAATAATGAAAAGTCTAGCTCTTACAAATTCATTTTGAGTTAAACAACTAATACTTCTAAATACATTACTACAGACCCAGCTGCCCAACAACTAACCAATTATAAGCTACTTTTCTCCAAATTTCTACCCTACGAATACAGCTCCCCCCTCAACGTCTTTCTCCCGACATCAAACACACACTCCGGCCCCAGAAAGGACGCCTCTTTCCCTCCATAAAACAGAACCCTTCCTCCCCTTCCTCCACCTCTCTCCGCCCCTTTCACCTCACCCCTCAACACCCTCCCCAGCAACTCCTTCATGCCCTCCACCACCTCCACCGCATCCACCCTCACCACACCCCCGGCAATCACGGCCGTCCCCTCATCCGCCTCGTCACGCAGAAACTCCAGCACCCGCTCCAGGCTGCGCCAGTACTCGCTCACCTCCGACTGCAGGCCAAATACAACAGCGCCCACAAGCTCCTCAGCGAACAGCACGGCCTCCCCTGCATCATACACGCACAGCGACTCTGGCGCAACCCCGGGCGTCAGCAGCGCCGTCAGCGGCGTCTCGGACAGCGACACGTGCGGGAACATGGCCGTGTCCTCGAGGTGCTCCACGGGTAGCGGCGGGTACGGCGGGGCCGCGTTCGAGGAGGCGAGTATCATGGAGGGCATGAGCTTTGTGCTAGCCGCGGTATGCGGGAGGCGCAGAAGCGTGAGGATATACTCATGGGCGCCACGGGGGTTGAGCGGGCGGTTCCCGTTTGCGGAGACGGGGACGGTTTCGAGGTAGGTTGCAATGGCGGGATGTGGGTGCCCGGCGTGGAGGAGGATGTGCGGCTCAGAGAAGCGTTTGAGGTAGGTTGGGGGGTGGGTGGGCATTGTGATGGCGAAGGTTGTGGGGTTCAAACGGGTTGTGGTGAATGTGGGGGCCGTCATTGCTTAGGGATTGGGTATGGGGAGATATCTGGGAATGCGCAGGGAGGAATCATGAAGGGAGAGAGCGAAGGGGGAAGGGATATATACTTTGCCGGTAGAGACAGACAGAGAGGCGAACTTTAGATTCGCGTGTCGAGCTGGGAATGACCTTGGGGCTGTGATGGCGCCGCTGGTGGTACAGAGACAGTGGGCGGTGGGTGGGATTGGCCAGCAAAGTGCAATTGCAATAATCCGTCTGTACGTGCTGTTGGCCCTATTTTTGGCGCGAAAAGAAGGCATGCATCATTGGTTTGAGGATTTATTAAGGCGAGAGTGTCTCTGCCTCCCCCCTGTCCGAGTGATAGAAAATGATTGGCGAGGCAGTACGGACAAAATATCGTATTCACAATAGTAGTCGTAGATCCTACTAAATAAGAGAGCCGGTGAAGGGGGGCAAAAAAGCAAATTTGGAGGTGTAGTCTACTCTAGCTATGTATCAACATTCGTATTCCGCGATTTCGTACCAGTTGTCAATGTATTATGTTGACATTGGAGATCGAGACGTGGGGCGATCTTCTTTTTATAGTGTGTTGTTGTACACACATATGCGATGGAGCTTTTTTTTCTTCGCGTGTTGTTGTTGGAGTTCTAGAAGAAGAAAAAGAAGCCGTCGAAACAGGAAAAAGCAAGTTTGAGAATGTGGAGGCGCGATAAGGGGGAAGAAACACCATCCATATTTGAATTCTATCACTGATAGGCGGCGGTCCGTCTACAAGCCCCATCCATGCATGCTACAATACCCAAACAAACAAAACAAAGAAAAATACCCCCAGAAGCTATAATAAAATAAAATAAAAAAGAACCTTGCTACCTATAAGCTATAAGCTATAAGCCAAGAAAAAAACCTAAACTCCCCAAACCCCAACACACCAACCTACCCCTTCCTCCTCCCCTCCTTGAGCACCATCTCGCCGCGCTCCTCAACGCGCCCCAGGAAGGCCTGCCGCTCCAGATACGCCTTCTCGCCCATCTTGTGGCGGCGCAGCTCCTCGCCAATGCCCTCCTTGTCCACGAAGCCCGCCCAGTCCAGCCGCGACTTTTCGAGCGTGTTCATCTTTTGCGCGGGCGTGCCGCCGGGGGTGTGTGGCTTGCGCGCGGCGGCCGCCGAGTCGAATGCCGAGACGCGCTTTTTGGGTGCTGCGCGGCGGGGCTTGGTGCCTGGTGGTGTTGTTGTTGTTGTTGTTGTGGTGGTGGTGGTGGTAGAGGTGGTGGTGGAGGGTGCGGCGGGGAGAGAGGCGAGGTAGACTTGTGCTTCCTGCGAGTCCCGGGGGACGACTTTGTGCTCTGTGTGTTCCTGCCCGGCGAACGTGTAGGTGCGCGATATCGTTATTGTCTCTTCTCTGTGGATCTTGCCCTTTCCCTTTCCAGCCTGTGTCTTCTTCTCTGCCTCTCCTTCCGTCTCCTCTGTCCCCTCCTCCTTCCTTTCCGCCTCCTCCTTTACAGCCGGCGAATTCATCGCCGCCCACAGCGCATCCACGTCCGTCACATCCCGTGCCGCCGCCGCCGCCGCCGCCAGCACAGTGGTACGGGACTCCTCCTCGTTGTCGTCGTCGGGGTCGCGGTCGCCGTGGAGGCGGCGGTGCGCGCGGGTCTTGATCTTGCGCGCGGGGGCGGGGGCGGGGGTGGGGTCTTCGGAGTGGTCTCGCTGGCGCTTCTTTGTGGCCCGTTTCTTGGGTTTGGGTTTCGATTTTGCGTCCGAGTCCGAGTCCGAGTCTGAGTCTGAGTTCTCCGAGACGGTGGCGGCGGCAGCAGCAGCAGTGGTGGGGTCAAAGTCCTCGTCCTCGGAGGAGCGGTAGTCGTCGTCGTCTTCTTCGAGGAGGGCGGCGGCAGCGGAGGGTGCAGAGGGAGGGGGATGGGCGTCGGACGTCATTATTGTGATTGTTGGTGATGGTTGGTGATTGTGGTGAGTGAGTGAGAGTGGTGTGGTGTGGTGTGGTGGGGTGGGGTGTGGTGGGGGGGGGATGAGTGTAAGCTCTGGTGGGACTGAGGGTTTTTTTTGGTTGGGGAGACGCGACTGTTTCGGATGTTGGGGAACCCTAACCCTGCTGTGCTTCTTGGTGGGGAAAGAGTTGGGCGGTGATGTTTGGGGGAGGACAGAGAGTGAGTTATGCCTTCTTTCTCCTGTTCTCCGAGGGTGTTTGCCTGATGCCGAACCCTAACCCTGGGGGGGGGGGGAGAGCGACAGTAATGGAAGGGCGTGGAACCGGGGCAGTAGATATTTTGAGGTTCGTATCTCTCTCGGATTCGTATTGAGGCAACGTCAGTGTAGCACGGTATACGTAGATGGGTATGTAGCTATTAAGGCTCCGGAATTATTACATGTGTCCAACAGGTCTCTCTCTCTGGTTGAGCCCCACCATGACTAAGCAGAAGTCTCGGGTGCTGCTGCAGCCACTAAATTTTGATATCTCGAGATCTCTCACAAACCTCTGCCCCACATTGCCTTGACCAGAACCCACCCCCAGCGAGACAGACACCACGATGTCTACAGCACTCAGGGTCTGTCTGTCCGTCTGTCCCTCCCCGTCCACACCATCCAATTGCTAACGCCTCCCTCCAGAATGTCTGCATCACCTGTCTCCGGAGCACCCTTCGCTCCCGCCGCACCCCCCACACCGCCGCCGTGCTACGGCTCCCCCGGCGCGCACCCCTGCACACTACTACCCCGCGGCCGCTCTCCGCCATAAACATCACCCACCAGCCCGTCGACGACGACATCCTGGGCACGATCGGCGCCTCGGTGCCCGTCGTGGAGCCGCTGTTCAAGCTCCCCCCCAAGGACATCATCACGCTGAAGGAGCACCTGGAGGCCGGCGATCTCGCCGCGACCTACAGCCACTTTATGGGCATCAAAATTGCCATCCCGACGGCCGAGGAGGTCAAGACGGCCTACGCGCAGCCAGAGACGTCCATGGCCGACTATGTGTCCGACACGACCCTGCAGACGGCGCTCGGGCAGTTTGTGGCTGCGCTGCTGGCCGCCGACTGGAAGGGCGCGGGCACCCCGCACCCGCTCCGCCTGCTGGAGCGGATGGAGGAGATGGGCGTCTGCAAGGGCGAGTACTACTCCATGCTGCTCATCGAGACCATCCGCCGCTACAACACAAAGGGCGAGATCCTGCCCGTGTTTGACCGCGCGGTGGGCTTCAGCGTCGCGGAGAGCAACATGCACGGCGTGGTCCTCGAGACGATGGAGCCGGAATCGGTCAAGATGGACATGGCCTCGCCGTACTTCTTTGCCTATCTCGTGCTCACCCGCGACCTCCGCGTCAAGGAGGAGTCCACGCTGCGCTACGAGCATGTGATCCGCCACTCGCCGTACCCGTCGTCAAACTACGCCCAGCGCTTCATGGAGTACCACAAGTTCAGCCCCGAGGACACAACCCGCATCGTGGGCCTGCTCGGGGAGTACGCCGAGGACACCCTCTTCACAAATTACTACACGCTCTCGCTCGAGATCTCACAGGCGCAGGCCAAGTCACCCGAGGACCTGCAGGAGCTGTACAAGCGTATGGTCTCCACCAGCCCCCGCACCCCCGACGTTTACACCCGCTTCATGACCGCCTTCTTCGAGCTCGGCCGCAACACCGAAGCAATCACCTGCTGGGCCGACATGACCCGCGCGGCCATCATCCCCACCGTCGTGCAGTGGAACGAGCTGCTCCGCGCCTACTCCCGCAGCCAGGACAAACTCCCCATCGAGCCCGTATGGCAGATGATGATCCGCTCGGGCTGCACGCCCGACCATCACTGCTGGACAACCCGCATCCACGCCCTCCTGGACAACAAGAAGATCGCCGCGGGCCTCGGCGCCCTCCGCGAGATGCAGGCCTCCGGAACCACCCCCACGACCGCTACCATAAACGCTACCCTCGACGGCCTCCTCAAGCACAGCTACATCAACGAGGCCATGGCCGTCATGGACACCGCCAGCCGCCTCGGCATCGAGAAGGACCTCGTCACCTACAACACCATCCTCAAGACACTCATGAAGCGCCAAAAGACCGACACCAGGACCTTCAACTCCATCCTCGCGCTCACGCGCGAGATGCAGGCCTCCGGCATCGTCCCCGACATCACAACCGTCACCCTCATCCTCGACGGCATGTACAAGTACGCCACGCCGGCGCCCAAGCTCGAAACCGTCCTCGGCATCCTGCAGTACGTCGAGGACGCCGGCATCATCACCAACATCGTCACCTTCACCACCATCCTGCACGCGCTCCTCAAAGAGGGCAACGAGCCCGCGGCCATGGGCATCCTCGGCATCATGGAGGACCGCGGCATCGTCGGCAACAGCACAACGTATACGGTGCTGCTGCAGCACTATTTTGCGCGCGGGGATGTCGTGTCGGCAGAGCGTGTGATTGCCGAGATGGAGGCGAAGAGGGTGCCTACGGATGCGAGGGTGTATCGCGAGATTGTGCTGGGGTTTGCGAATGCGCGGGAGGCAAGGAAGATGCAGTTTTGGTTGGCGAGGATCAGGGATCGGCATGTGGTGCTGGGGCTGCTGGCCTATATGAGTTTCCTACGGGCGATGGAGAGAAAGGAGTTGTTGCTTGAGGCAAAGAACTTGGTGGCGGAGTTGATGGAGAGGGGGATGGTGGGCGGCGGCGGAGAGGGTATGGTGAACGAGAGAGAGTTCTGGGATGTTGTGAGGGAGATGGCGGGTGGGGCTGTGTTTAGGGAGTTGGAGAAGGAGGGGAGGGTGCATTATTAGGGATGCATGGGCGAGTGATGGATTGTGATTGTGGGGGGAAAGTTAGTAGATATAGTAGGTAGATATTGTAAATAAGATACCTACTGCTGCACTTTCTAGGGTTTCGGTGATTCTGTGCGAGCTTGTAGTCAGCCAGTGCTCCCAGAATTAGCCATGGATATCGGTACCACAAATATATTCCTGCCCAGCGCAGCTTCTTCGTATGCTCCATAATCACAGCTCATCAATCGGCTTCTGCTCGAGTCAACCTCTCGGAGGTGAGTGCGTTACCAGCTTATGTACGACCACACCGACGCGGCCAGGGCAGGCCCATGGAGAGTTTAACCTCCGTAATCCCGATTATTACAGTCGGCAGCTCTCTGGTAAGTTCCAGTTGGTATCCCTGTATGTATCGATGCTGTCCTAGGGATAGCGGGACCCTGGGAGAGTGTATCCGTTATTGACTTTGAGGCCCTGCTTCGGTGCACCGTTAACATCAACCTCATGATACTCTAGTACGAATGGGAATGGAGAATCCAATGATACTGTATAGCTCACATTTTCCTATCTATCTTCCACTCTAATACCTCCATCCCTCCACATCTGCCGCCCTCCTCGAAGCCTAAGTTCCTCAAAAGCTGGGCGACGGCTAACTATCGGGCCAATGGCAGGTGGCTCCGGACACGATGGCGAGTGATAATACATGAACCGAGTGTGGTGATGTTCGTTGTATCTGGCTTTGTATGTGCATGGGGTGAACGAGAAATGAGTGTGGTGTTGAAGGAATAGAACACGTAGTGATTTGAGAAAAGACAAGTGGCAATTGCAAGACCTAGTGTTAGAATCAAAACTATCTGTGGGTACGTGTTATATCAAAGGCAGTTACTTTTGTGTTTTAGCTATACAGGATCATGCATAAGTATACCAGTCTTCTCCCCTTTACACAGCTACGGAATTGATATTGGTGGCCGTATTAGTCGGGGATTTGCTACTCTTAGAGCTGTTTTTCGGGTTGGTATGCATTCCCACTATACTGTAGCTAGCTGATATATCAAAATGCTTTAGAAAAATCAATTATAATATAGTACCCCAAGCATTTCTGCTTTTTTTGCATGTTCTAAACATGAAATCCACATCAGCCAGATTTTAAAGCAAACCAGATCATGATCTAGACCTATATTATACAACTTTCATAAAGATACCCAACTCAAAGTGAAAACTAGGCAGATGGTTAATATTTGCAGCCCCCTATCCTCCCCACTAAACCTACTCTCACCGCCTACAGTACCCACTCCCTATCTAGCCCATTGCACGCAAAGAAACTCCCGATGCAGGGTTAGGGTTTCCATAACCTTTTCTCTCTACGATTCCGAATCAGATTTCGTGACTAAAGAACCGGCGAGGTGATATATGGCGGTGGTGTGCTGCAGGAAGCGCCACCATCCCGAAAAGTAGAGGATATCTACGGGCATCTTGGTAGGGTGGTCAAAACCCTGATCGACCCATATATTACTCAACTCTGGGGGTGGGAGGGTGGGGATCGCCCGCGGCCGTGTTTATATATCATTATGTTATATAAAAATATGGGAGGGAGAATTTCTCCTAAGGGAAGCTGTGTGTATGCTAGGCGGGTAGATGGCTTATCTCTGTTGAACCTCGGAAGAGATGTGTAGAGGAGGGTGTTCAGCATGCAGTGGGTGGGGGTGCCGACCCCCAAGAGGTCGGTGTCCTGGGTGGCAGATATGTGATCTAAATGTAATAGAACCAATGATAATTTTTTATTTATTTAGTGCTTGTTCTATTGGCATAGTTACTAAGCTGGGAGAAACGATATATATTGGCAGACATTACCGGCAGGAGCTAGTACATATATCTACATGTATGTAGAAGGGAGGGAAAAGAGATTCGTGACGTCGATCTGTAATGTAGCGGTCATTAGGGCCAACGTCTAAGGGACGGGTATCATAGACCCTAGCTATATTGATATGGGTAAATACACTATGGTACCACTGGGAGTACATGAGGTAAGGAATCAACTAGGTTGATGATTCTTTCTCTTCCTCTAGTGTTGCGCCGCCCTATGTTCTCGATACGGTACACAAGTTACCAGTCGATATTGAGATACCGCAGCTCGAGTTTCCCCGGGGGGGGGGGGGGGGGGCGTTGGTTAT